GCTCATTCTAAGCATACCTGGTTAACGGCGTCGGGCCAGTTTTGTGTTTCCAGACAAAAGGCGCAGTGGCGGCCGTACGCCACCCCCCCCTTCCCTCTGATGGAGCCATCCAGAACATTGGAAGTGTAGAACTGGATCCCCGGTTGGCTGGTTGACACCTCCAGCACACGGCCGCTGGGTGGGTGGAAGACTCTGTAATGCAGAAACAGGTTACCCTTCCAGATTGTTCTAAAAGAGACAGAGGCGTCTCCTGATACTGTGATTTTGGTGGGAAGATGGAAACACCTGGCAGCTTGTCTTTCTGTCCACTCGTCTCTGGGGGAACACAGGCAGAAGTTGTGGTCAAAGCCCAGGCCAGGAAGCTCCTTCAGTCGGGAACCAACAGGAACCTGGACCCGGAGGTCAAAGGGCGAGCCCTCCACAGGCCTGATCTCTCCTGCAGACAGATTGACAGATTGGAGACTTGTTCAAGCTCTAGCATTTCTAAAGACAGGCTGTTCGATTCACCTGATGCATGCTAACTAAAGTCTACAATGGCTGTTATTCATACTGGTAATCTGGGATCACCACTCACCTGTGGGAATGGACGTGTCATCAACAGGCAGGTATGACTGAGCATTGATGGACACTTCATGGTCATAGATGTCTGCTGCTCCCTTTGTCCCAGCATGGAAGATACAGACAGAGACAAAGAGACATGATCAACAAGTCAGCAGGTCTGGATAGATGATGATGCATCCATCCATTCATAACACAACCAAAAACCCAGAGATGGGGGACTTGAGTAATGACTTGACTCGAGTTTGATTCGACTTGCCAGATTTGTGACTTATGACTTGCTTGATCAAGCATTGATAGTGTCAAGCACTGGATATTGGCATCATGGTATCATTGGTTTAAAGATGTGATTAAACTGTTTTATTTGTTTTACTACCTGCTTTTTGTCATGTTTCTATCTTTACTTGCTTATATTCTGTTTTTATTTTTTATTCTATTTTACTTTTTAGTTCATGTAAAGCACTTTGCATTGCTGTGCTGAACTGTGCTATAGAAATAAACTACAGGATTCAGGATTAAACCATTGGCGGCTGGTGGAGTTTTCTCCAGTTATAACACACCAGTACATTTATATGAATGCCAACAACAAAGAACATTATATAAACACTTTATAAAAACAAAACATAATTTCATGTACAGGTTTAATTTTCGTACATAAATGTTAGCCTCATGAGGCTTTGTGAAGATAAATCTGTGTTTTGCATGGTCTAATATTGTGTCACAAACCTAATCAAATGTACCAGTTTAATAATGGAGAAGCTATTAGCTTTATGTTTTTTTTCATATAAAAACTATTTATTTTCTGACAATGTGTTTATTTAAGAGCAACTGTGCAAATTAACAAACATCTAAAAAAAGTAGACTATATTCTATTATTTTCCATGTGAATCCCAGATTGTTCATTCTTCTTTGTCTTTTCTAAAAAGTGCTTTAAATCAGTCCTTCCTGTCTTTATCCATGCTGGCTCAGATCCTGAAAAGGGCAGGGAAAGTAGAATAGAGCGTTAGCCTCGCTGCATGCAGTTAGCCAAGCCTTGAAGCTCAACCAGATCCTGGAAAAAGGCAGAGTGAACCGTCTCCATCTGTCTTTTGGACTACTGATTCATTTTGATGTTCAGCTGATCAGGTCCAAACGGTTTCACCTCCCGCTTCTCTTGGCAAGATTGCTTTAAGGGACTTCCCTCCCGCGACACAACCTGTCAATCAGCTGCACTACGACAGTGACGACAGTTCCTGTCACCTCGGGGAGCAGCTCTCCAATCCTTTAGCATTGAAGAGTAGCTACTGCGCATGGGCAACTAATCCCCAGAGAGTCAATGGGCAAAGATTTTTGCTCCCCAGGACGTAAATACGTCACCAATTCAACTACAAACCAAACAGCTTCACTCCTCATTAAAGATTAAATATTTATCTTGCACATATAAAACATTTACATTTTATAATCTTTAAATTTAATTTTTATAGATTTTTTTGTCTAAATTAAGGTCATTGGGTGGGCGGGGTGATGCCATAGCACCCTCTATTAACCAACCACCTATGATTGAAAATCATTCCTCCACCTCAGGACCATGCTGGTCCAAGTTGGCCAGTGGCTTAAGGGCTGGTTATCCTCCCGCAGCAATTGGTCGCAGGTAGGATGCAGATATTTTAGATTTATGCCCAATATTGAAGTGTGGTCTGTGCCATGTTATTCCACGCCACAAGGCAAGAGGGACAATCAGGAATTAGCTCTGGGTCTAGATACGGCCGAGGTGGTGAGGAAGTGGGGGCAAGTTTGTGCGACAACGGAGGGACATGAGGGCGACAGAGAGCTGGGATCCAGGTGGGAAAAGGGTCCCAGCGTTCTCACGCAGCTCGCTCTTCTAGCTGATTAATCTTCACGAGTCCTTTTCCACAATGACGGTCATACAAACAAAACAAGCCGGTAAAGTACCAAACAGGAAATACGCATAGAGTAGAGCGGATGTAGATTTGACCAATCAGAGGCCTCCTGTCTGCGGTCATCTACAATTTTGGAGAGGTGCACTAGAGTGTCTGAGAAAGGAGTGGGGGAGCATATCTACCGTTAACTGCGACACACGCAGACGACCTGGTTTCTGAGTATAAATCAGCCTTAAGTCAGTTAATAAACCGGATAATCTTCCCTGAGGATGATGGATCTATCTGGAGGGGGCCTCTGGTGGCAAAGGTCCAACTACTGCTCTGCCATTGGTGTGAGATTTCCTCTAATGTCGTAATAGTTCAAAATAACTTGTTACACTTGTTTATGTTTTACAATAAAGATCTGAAAAGTGTGGTGTGCATTTATATTTGCATTTGGGATCAATCTGCATCCAGCTTTCCAAATCTATTTGACCATTCTTTGCAAACTAGCTTGTGATCACCTAAATTTGCTACCTGAACAACACTTTTCAGATCATTCCAAATAATCTTAGTTGTTATGTTTATTGATTTCATAATTCTAGAATAGGGTTTCACAATTCAGAACATCAGTGAACAAATTGAATTCAAGGCCTTAAATGGTTCAAAATCTTTTTAACTTCACAATCAGTTTTCTGCTTCATCTAATTATAATCAAACCCTTGTGGGTTTCCTTTGTTCAGGGGTGTGAATACGTTTACCAGGTGCTCTTTATCATGTGAGGTAATGAGCTCTTACCTGCCCAGCTAAGTTGAAGTAGGAGTGGTTGGTGAGATTGATGGGGGTGGTTCTGGTGGACCGGGCGCGGTAATCAGCAGTTAGAGTTTCCCCCTGGGCAGAAAAACATTTTTATTTCTGCAGAACAGGAATTTTTGTTTAACCAAGTGTTAAAAAAACCTTCTAACTGATTGTTTTTACATTCAGAAAATACTTTAAACTGAATATTTTTCAATCAAAAACTGGACTAGTGCGTTTTATCTGCATCATCATCCAGTTAAACTGACCTCAGTATTTTTGTGCTAATATATATTCAAACTAAATCCCGCTACTTTTCTGGTTTCATCTGGTCCAATAAAGGTAACTCAAAAGCTTTGTTTCCCCTCCTTTCCAATCTCCTGTAATTTACCATCATATGTCTCCAAACCCATCATTCCTCTGAAATCCATCCCTTCCCCAAGTCATTCTCTAGCTTTCAGCTCCAGAGCATCTCCAGCATCTCCTCCACCTGCCTCCATGACAGAATCCATGCATCTCTGGCCAAATCCTGTCTCCAGAATTTGCTTCTGATCTTAATGCCATCATTCAATTCAATTCATGTCCTCTTAAGGCGCTTTACAGTTCATCAGAACATACAGTCAAATTGATTAAAAGTTTTCTATCTAAGGAAAACCATTTGATTGCATCGACTCATTGACTCGAATGCAATCCCTCACATTAAGCATGCTTGTAGCGACAGTGGAGAGGAAAAACGGACTTTTAACAGGAAGAAACCTCCATCAGACGGAAATTTTTGTTTTACATTTTTTACTGATTAATGCTTAATTCATTAAATCACTGCCAACATATCAGATCAGATCATTATTTCTAGTTTTAGGTATAAATAATGATCCATTGACTATTCCTTGCTGCTTTTCCTTTAATATAGTTTATATTGCAACTTATCGTTTAGTTTGGGTGTCCTGATAGGTGCTTTAAATAAAAATATTATTATTGTTGCTGCAAATCACTTTAATAGAAATCTGTTGTTTAATATTAGAAAATAAAATGAATGATAAATGAACCAGAGATGAAAGCGTTTAAAGGATAAATGGCCTCAAGGCTCCAACTGTGCGGGTTTACCTGCAGTGTGTAGGAGACAGACACCTGGACCTCACCACGATAGCCCTGGTCTCCATCTGGACTCGTCAGACTGAGCATCACACCACCTTCAATCTCTGTAGCAACCCAGAGCGCCTGGACAGAAAATCCACAGAAGGAATGAGGCTTTCATAAGTCCTCACAGATACGCACCGTTGTTCCATATCTGCTGCGTCAGATTTCCACCTACTGGGCGAAAATTTGATCTCCAATCTTTTTCTACGAAATATTTTTTTTTTCCACACTAAGTTTTCCCAATAAAAAGGATTTTTCACATCAAACAATGAAAACAGACTAAATGTTAGCAGCTGGTAGACTCAGACAGTGAATTGGTTTATCAGTTATAAGTAAATATCTAAAAAGAAAAAACAGGAAGGATGTCGCTCTGATCTATAGATGTAAAAAATCCAGATTTTCCAAAAAAGAATCTTCATAAACCAAAAAAAAAAAAAAAAAAGGATAAAAAAATTAGAACTGGGTTATTCTAAGTTGCTTTTTGTGTTAAACATCTGATTTTTGTTTAAAGTTGTGTTTTCCTTGTCTTCTTTGCAGTGATTTTATTTAATGTTTCTGCGTTGCTTAGTGTCGATTGTTGCGGTTTTGTTTGCAAACTAAATATTTAGTTTGGAGCTAAATATTCATTTAACAAAGTAAGATTTTTATAAACGAATAATTGACATAGTGAAAAAATGACATGGAAAAAAATAAAATACTTATTTTTCTCTTAAACACACTAAATAACGATAAATATTACTTTTCAAACGGTGCCCCATTAATAATTGGGTTTTCCTTACAGCTTGAAGTTCCGCCCCTCAGATAAATCATAAGGCTGCTCCCCAAACATTTCAGCGGTTGACTCCAGACAGAAACTGCATCTGAGCAGATATGGAAGCTTCACATTTCCATCATTCACGGCTTCTTTCTAGTCCTGTTAACCCTTTAAATCCCACATTGGAGAACAGAAAGAAACAGAAATACTTCCTGTGGTACCTGACTGAAGCCCCGCAGACCTCCATGCAGAGCGTTTGGTCCGTTGTTGGTATCCAGCTGGTACTCCTTTCCTTCCACCACAAAGCGTCCTTTGGCGATCCTGTTTGCCACCCGACCCACCACGGCGCCCAGATACCGTTTATCTGACACGTAGCCTGAGATAACACATAAATAACATCAGATTTCAGCTCCTTCCTCTGGCCTCCTTCAGGCAGGGTCGGGTTCTAGGTTCTAGCTCAGAGGTCCTTCACAACCCAAACAACCTCAGTCCAGCCGAACAAAACTCAGATTTTAGGAGATTCTGGATAAAAGACATCCTTTCGCATAAATATCTATGAAAGTTTTTGTTTTTAAAGAACCACCATCTTATTTTTTGGGTTTTAATTCAATTCAATTCAGTTTATTTCTATAGCGTCAATTCACAACATGTCCTCTCAAGGCACTTTACAGTTCATCAAATCATCCAGTCAGACAGATTCAAAGTTTTCTATCTAAGTAAAACCAGCTGATTGCATCGACTCATTGACTTCAAGGCAATCCCTCACACTAAGCATGCTTATAGCGACAGTGGAGAGGAAAAACTCCCTTTTAACAGGAAGAAACCTCCAGCAGAACCAGGCTCAGTGTGAGCGGCCATCTGCTGAGGACTGCTGGGGTTCAAGGAGACAGAAGCAGAGATAGAAAAAGAGGCATAGATACAAAAGGTAACTGAAAACTAGCTCAACAGGTGGCACCATCCAGGAAACACACAGCCTGGAAGAATGTTTTCAAGATGACTTGGATAATAGCGCGTTGTGACAAACACCAGATACAGCACTGGGACTTGATCAACAGCCGATCCCGCACTGTGACGTCACAAACCAGTAGGTGGCAGTAGTGTTCTTTGACCAACATGGATGCCTCCAGTAAAGCACATTCAAATGAAAATTACTCTTAATGAAAAACACTTCTTATTTATTGAACAGTATGTAATAATTTCATATTTAAAGTACTTTCAGAAGGTTGAATTCTGAATATGACCAGACTTTTCCTTTAAGAATATTACACAAACTATCTGATGATGTGCCAAAAGTGCTAAATTGATGATACATATATTATAAATGTATTGACTATATTGTGATGGTAATTACACTACATTACAGGCATTATTCTGGCACAAGAGTGGGGGAGTGGGGAGTAACAAGATGGCGGCAGGTGGCAGCAGGTTTTTTCGGTCTATCAGCAATCCAGTGAATAAATAGAGATCAGTTGTTCCAAACCATAAATTGTTGAGATGGTGTCGGTGCTGGAAGCAGATGGTATCTAATCCTCTGAAGGTCGATTACTGTTTGGGATTTGGATCCATAGCTGTTCTTCTTCTTGTTGTCATTTTGGATCAACTATCAGGGAAACAAACATTCTTTTGCCTCCTGAAGATGAGCGATTAGAGCAGATTAACTATCAGCCCAACTGGATATTATGATCAGCCAAATCATTTCTTATTGTTTCTCCAGAACAGCAGCAGAGAAGCGGGAGGAGTGAAGGTTGGCCTTTAAACTGAACAGGACAAACAGACAACTTTAACAGAGATAAAAACAGCAGAAAGGAACCAATCAATGACCCACAAGGAGCTCAAAGTTTTCCCCTTTGGGTCCGAGGTTCTGGATCATAACATCCTGGGTTCCTATGATAACGAAATGCAGAGGCGGAGGTTCTGGTTCTCAAGGCCTCCCAGCAGAACCCTGCAAAGTATTCTGGCCTCTGCTTGATCCGACCCTCCAATGACGGCTCCACTGACATTATCCCTACCTTCTGGTCTGATAGAGATCAGGCTCTGCCATCATCTGCAGCCCAACAGAACCTAAGAGCCTCTGTAGATTTGGAAATCGTATGTCATGGATCTGATTGTAGAGCTAAAAGGAATGACTGGAGATGATCCACAACATTTGGAGGAAAGATCCAGAATGTTTACTCCGAGGTATTCAGGACAAGTTTTAGACATGAGGGTTAAGAGCAGCTTCTCTGTCTCACCTTCCAGGTTGTCGTAGCCCAGGACCACATCCTCCATCTGCCCACGCTTCCCCCTGCAGCTCAAAGACCTGATGATGGCGCCAAGGGTCAGGACCTCCACTCGCAGCCCGGGGGACTGGAGGACCCACATGTCCACACTGCCAAGGCCAGGGACCTCCCCCCACCGCTGACGGCTGATCTGGACCATCCTTAGCCTGACGGAGAACAGAGACAACTATTTAGAACTGTGATAACTAGATAACAACTTGGAGGGCGCAGACCTGATTTCCCCCGACATATGGTGATTACCACCTTCAGTTAATACCTGTATTCACTGAATCTGTCAAAGAATTTCTGGATCCAGATGGGGATCCGGATCATCACCAAAATTCTATTCAGTTTATTTATATAGCGCCAATTCACAACACGTCATCTCAGGTCAACGGAGGACAACAGAGGGACATGAGGGCGAAAAAGAGCGGGGATCCAGGTGGAAAAAGGGTGCGAGCATTCTCACGCACCTCGCTCTTCTTGCTGGTCAAACTTCAAGAGTTGTTTTCCACCATGGCGGTCATACAATCAAAGCAAGACGATAAGGTAACAAACAGGAAATACGCGTAGAGTAGAGCGGATTTGACTAATCAGAGGCCCCCTGTCTATGGTCAACTACAATTTTGGAGAGGGGCACCAGAATGTCTGCGGAACAGGGGGGGTTGCATTTGCGTTCACTGCGACACACACGCAGACGACCTGGAGTATAAACCAGGCTCAGTGTGAGCTGCCATTTGCTGAGGCTGACTGGGGTTCAAGGGGACAGAAGCAGACATAGAAAAAGTTGTAGGGATATAAAAAGTAAGTAATATTTATTCATATAGCACCTTTCAGAGACATAGGGGTCACAAAGTGATTCACAGAATTAAAATAGAAATAAAAATACATTTACAGTCACAACAGGCATGGTCATAAACAACCCTTAATCTAGTAGAATTAAAATGCTTTCTTAAACAAAGAGATTTTCAGTTCGCTCTTAAAAGCACCAACAGAATCAAGTACGCGCGAGGAAAGTGAAAGATTGTTCCAGAGCGCCGGCACCACCGCCTGAAACGAGCGATCTCCCCTGGTCCTGTGACGAGTACCATGAGAAGGTTCTGGTCCTGAGACCTCAGCTTCCAAGAGGGGGTATAAAGACACAAGTCTGTAATGTAGGAGGGAGCCTGACAGTAAAAGGCCCTGAGGTTCAGCACCAGGATTTTAAACTGGAACGGAAAAGACAATGGGAGCCAATGAAGAGCTTTCAGAATCGGCCTAATATGAGTCAGTAACTTCGCCACAGAGTTCTGAACCTGAGGAGACAACTCGTGTTTAGACATGAGAATAGACTGTTATGCTCCCTAGATGTGGACAGGAAAAGTCATAATATAGATTATAGATTTTAAAAGTATTACCAATTCTCAATTTTACTTAATAGTATGTAACAACAGAGTATTAGGGCCAGGCTAGAGATTTTTTTGTCTTCTATTAGCGAGAATAAAGTCGTAACATTACGAGAATAAAGACCTGAACCAGGATTGACCCAATAGACCCGAACCAGGACTGACCCAATAGACCCGAACCAGGACTGACCCAATAGACCCGAACCAGGACTGACCCAGAAGACCAGAACCAGGAGTGACCCAGAAGACCAGAACCAGGACTGACCTAATAGACCAGAACCAGGACTGACCCAATAGATCAGAACCAGTTCTGAATCAGAAGACCAGAACCAGGACTGACCCAGAAGACCAGAACCAGGGCTGACCTAATAGACCAGAACCAGGACTGACCCAATAGATCAGAACCAGTTCTGAATCAGAAGACCAGAACCAGGACTGACCCAATAGACCAAAACCAGTGCTGACCCAGAAGACCTGAACCAAGGCTGACCCAATAGAGGAGCACCAGGACTGACCGAGAACAACAGAACCAATGCTGACCCAGATGAACAGGAAGTGTCTTTTTACTTGCGGTGTGGAACTAAAGCCTTCCTGCAGTCAGACATGGTGGCGGCAGAGTGATGGTCAAAGGGAGCAGGACACCTGTTCCACTGCTCATTATAGAGCAGAGCAGGTGGTTCTGATGTTCTGACTGGTCTCCCAAAGCACAGAGTGACTTTTCTTCAGTTGTAGATTTTTATTTATAGATGTAACTTCTATCCTCATGGACAGAATGTATGCAGAAGATGACAACAAGGAACAACTTTCAAATTCATTCATTTATCTTTATTTCCATTTACAAATTCAGACACCTACATACGTTTTTATAAGAATATCTTACCTGGTATTAAATACGTCAGCAGCTGCTGTGAGAAACGACTTGTTCTAAGGGAAACAGAGAGAGAACGGATTTAAAAGGCATATTAGGAGCAGACTGGAAGAAATTATTACATTTTAAAAACGTTTTCCTGCTAAATAAAAATAGATTATAGCAGCTGAGACGCACTGGATGTCCAGCAGGGGGCAGTATGCCCCGCTATAAAGAGAAGAGGAAGAAGAGGCCCACATCCTTCCAAAGCTTCCAGCCTCCACTGTGTTTCTAAAACACACTTTGATTTGATCGGATCAGAGCTCCTCCATCTGCAGCTGCTTCAAACATCTGATTCTAGGTTCAGATTTCTCTGCTGAGCTGCTGCTTTACCTGAGAAATGCTCTGATGGAGAAATTATTCAAGCATTTATAGGCTATAAATGCTTGAATAATTTCCTATTAGGAATTTTTTTTTAAATAGAATTTAGACGATTGTGACATTAGAACCAGAAAGAGGTGAAGATAATGGCAGCGAGTTCCTCCTTGGTTCCTTTTTCTATTTCATGTTTATCTGAACTTTGTGTTTCACCACATAGAGAAGAACCATGAAACAATAAAAGCTCAGGGGTTCCGGTTCGGTCCATATAACTGGACCGGCAGCAGAACCAGTCAGAGATCAGAACCAGGTTGCGAGGCAAACCCGAACCAAACCAGGATCTGAGCCTCTCAGCTCTTACCTGCAGACACGTTAACGAGACCGGAGGAAAGGAGGCGGCGTGACGTCAGACGAATGCGGAAGTCATATGACCCTATGGGCTTTTTTTTTCTCCTGATAAATTCATTACAAATAGGAAGGATTAATAGGAACAACAGGAGAGGGGATAAAGACAACACAGAAAGCTCTTATAAAGTATCTTAAGAATATAGGATTATACAATAAGATTATATATATATATATATATATATACATATATATATATATATATATATATAGAGAGAGAGAGAGAGAGAGAGAGGGAGAGAGATAGTATACAGATTGTAAAGTATACAGATTGTATATGTAGATATAGGTATATGTATGTGTCTATATATATATGGATGTATGTGTACATATATACATACATAAATATATATACATACACATACATCCATATATAAATATATCACTGATTCTTGGGAATTTGGATAAAACAGGTTTTAATTTTGAAAATAAAAAGTTAGTTGGATTACAAAATCTGAAGGTATATTGTTATAGACCAAGGTCTTGGCTGTTCAGCAGTGTACAGGTGCAACCTCCTCATTTTGTATTTCTTTCATAAAATAGGCATTTTTCCAGTTATTACTTTGTTTTTGTCAACACCATCAGACACAATAAAAAGCTAATTATTTTTTATTTATTTGGTCTAATAAGTATTTAGAGTTTTTAAATCTTTATCTGGCATTGTTAGCACACATTTATGCTGTTAAATGTTGAATAATCATTTTTGTTAATTTTTTTTAACTGTATCATGTGTAGTCCTTTAAAATATCTAACATCAGATAACGTTTACTTTAAGCCTAAATAGAAAAAGTCATGTTTTTTTATTTAACAAACATATTTTTGTATTAAAAGAGACCATTACTTTAATGAGAGAACAGCACTGAAGAAACATATTGCAAGCATATTAATTTAAAACGAATAAAAAGCCCTCTGACGGTGGTGACTTTAGAACTGAAGGTGGTGACAGTGGCCTCATTTCAACATACAATTCCAAACTGTATACAATTCAAGTCAATGGTTTCTTGCTTATTAACTTTATTTAACTATTTGGTCCAAAAAATAACAATCATGAGCACTGTGACAAATATTTTTCAAGGAATATAAGGTACAATTAAGAAATATCATTATCAGTCAGAATCATTCTCTGATGCTTTATTTTCTTGCGTGTGATTGTGTCCTGTTTGTCAGTTGTCATTCGTGCTGCATTATGGTAGAAATTTTGAACCTTCTGAGTAATTGCTTGAATATATGTAGGTTTTTTGTCAGTAGGCCTTCACACTTCTTTTGATATTCCCTGTTTCTTTTCCTTCTTTCCTTCACAGATAGCTGCTTCCTAGCCATAACTTCCTAAAATACATAAAGTCAAAGTTGAGTGTAATGACTATGAAATTGGGGGGAATTACAGTAAATGTTAGATTTGGTTAAATGTTGCCCTGCCATAGCTTACAAGGAATATTGTATACTATGTGCTATGTAGGTAGGTAGTAGGTGCACTATGTGCATCCCAAATGATGTAAACCAAATGAACATGGCATAATAGTGAATTGAGAGACAGGGAAGGCACACCCCATCCCCTAGGGTTATACAATATGTAAGAAATCTAGGCGGAATTACATAAATAAAAATATAAAAGAGGTTAATGAAACATTACAGATCAACAATTATTTTCTAGCCTCCATTGAGAACCATTTGTAGTTTTTTGTCACCACCGTCAGACTGTGCGTCACCACCGTCAGACAGAAAATCTGACGGTGGTGACGTCTGACGGTGGTGACAAAATCCTACTCTTTCACATGATATGCATGAGTTGTTCACATTAGCCATCTTGTTTCCCCTCTGTTGCTAGCTACTTTAGACCTCTTCTTAAAAAGTAAACATTTATGTCATAATCTAATCTAATATTTTTTATACAAAAGAGACGGTGTTGACATGTTATGGTTGTGACATTAGCAGTGTCCAAAAATATGAACAAGTTTAAGAGAAAATAGCAAACCTACAGGAGCTTGAGTGACCTTAAGGCATCCAGTAGAGCTGAAGATTTGAAAATGGGTACCTCAGGCATGTAGTTGACCTTTTAGTTGCCTGATTTTATTGCTTTTTATAAATATCTGACGGTGGTGACAAATATGTGGGACACATTTTGAGCAATCACAAAATAATGGTTATTATTGTTCAAAACTCACTGTTTGTAGTTTTAAATACATATTAAAATGTACCCTTTCATTTGGTAAAGATATTATTCAATTCAATTATTACTTTTTGTTTTTTTAATCAAGTTGAAATGATTATCTCCTATCCAAGGACAACTGATTTTATAGTTAATGGGCCAGCATATAATCATTAAATTAACAATAAAATAAAAAAACTTTAAAAGAACCTTGCATTTGTGCAAAGGACCCCCTGATTATAACCTTGATTGTTTTTATTCATGAAAATTTTATTTCTTTCCAACAGAATTAGCACTTTTCTTAGTGGGACATGTTTTTGCCAAAGTTTCAAGAATCAGTGATATATATATACACATACATATACACGGGTCTGTGCAAGACTCAACCTGGACGTCCCAGTCTTATGTGCCCTGAAAGCTTAATACATGGCTGGGTTGGACCTCCCCAACCCAGCCATGGTGCGGGGAGGCGGCAGCGTGGTCCCCTACTGCCAGCTCTAGGTGGGGTCCTTCAATGACATATGTCAAGGACCCGCCCACTTTCTAGTTTTTGATTCTATTTTTTTTTTTTTTAGAAATAATATCTGTTTTTACTAAACTTTTTACTCTCAGCATCTAGCAGTTCTTGGACAGCTCCATGTGTCTCTGCATTATCTTGTCTTCAGTAATTTAAGCATCTCATATCTGATTTGAGGAACAACAACAACCTTTCTGTTTCTCTATATTGTTTTCTGATCCTGTTTGACTATTCTTCTTCTAAATAATCATATTTCTTTGCTTTGCTAAGATGCATAATGGTCATCTAATAAGATAAATGTTACGTTGGTTTTTCAATCTTAGATGAAGAATATCTTTGTTTTCTATCTTATTATTCATTGACGTTTTCCGTTTCCCCCCAAAATGATTCCTAGCTTATTGTGTTTAGTTTGGTTCAGGTTATTCAGATTATTAATAATCAGCACATCAGCACATATTGGAGATCAGTTATCAGCCTAAAAAAAAAAACAAACATACATGTGGATCCCTAATCAAAAGTGTCAATCCATATAAAGAGATGGAAACACAAACAACGTTCTGATAAGCAGAATCAGAAGGACAATCTTTATTAAAATGAGTCAACAGGCAGCAGTGATGAACACATGGATGCAAAGCTGCAGGTTAGCATGACCTCTGGGTCACCATCACAGGAAAACAGAACCTTCTGCTCAGGAACTGTTATCCTGAACCCAGCACCTGCAGATCACCAGTAACAGTCATTAAGATTTACGGTGCGGCCATGACGGCTTCAGCAGAACCAGAACCTTCCGTTACAGCAGCAGCAGATGTAGCTGATCAGGTCTCTGATTGACAAACAGCAGGTTCTGTTCAGGTATTGTCTGGTACCACTGGGTTCTAATCAGAAGAAACCCAATTCTGGTCAGTAACAATAACAATAACACTCTATGGTAAGAACTGAGAGAGAGGAGGAGGGAGGGGTCAGGGGAGGGACGAGGCAGAAGATGGAGGGGTCAGTTAAAGGAGGGGGAGGAGTCAGAGGTGAGGGAAGGCAAAAAGGGTTCTGTGGGTGACTTCTGACAGAGTCTGATTAAAATGTGAAGGCTTCTGACAAAAACTCCGTTTCCATGGAGGAACCTGGTCCCAGAAGAATTCATACAGTATAAAGGTTCTACCATCTGGTAGACCACAGCAAAGCAGGAGAAAAGCAGGAACCGTTAGACTGAGGCTTACAAAGACCCAAACAGTGAGATCAAAGCAGATCAGAACCAGAAAACCTTCGCTAGAACCAACCAGATCCAAGCCGTCATAAAGCAACAGCCTGCAGCGGATTCACCTCAACATGTTCTGTAGAACCTTTAACCGTCAGTCCAAACGTTGAATAAAAATGTATCTTTGAACAAATAAAAAAATGCTCCGTGTACAAACATCCTCCATCTACTCTTCCTCCTCCTCTTCATCATCATCCTCGTCGTGGCAGTGGGTGATTTCTTGTGGAGCCTGGGGGAACAGGTGAGGCGGCTGGATCTCGCTGACGGATCGGGTCAGCTGGTGCCGTTTGGTCTCCATCTCCTTCATGTCAAAGTCTCGGCGGTTGCGGGTGGCGAGCGGCGACTCGGTGTCGATCAAGTTGACGTGAGAATGCTCCACCGTGGACTCGTGAGGCATCTAGGGAACACAAACAATCATACAGTTCTACAGAACTGGCTGAACCAGATCCTGAGAAATGGGTTCTAACCCAGCCCCCGAGTGGTTCTGGGCTACACACTTACCAGAACATGTGCCGCCCTGAACAGGTAGCTGAAAGGGTAGTAGAGCAGGTTGATGAAGGAGGCGGCGTACAGATCGGCGTAGCGCATCACCTGTGAGGCGAACAGCGTCTGCCTAGACCCGCTGCGGAACAGGCTTCCCATCATGCCGTAGCACATGTCCATGTCATGGGTCACTTTCTAAGGTACAAACAGGGACAGAACAGGATTCGGATCAACTGCTAACATCTGGAAGATGTTTCAGCATACAGATACAGTATACGCTCCACACCAGTCCTCCCACTGTCTACCAGTAGGTCCACACCAGTCCTCCCACTGTCTACCAGTAGGTCCACACCAGTCCTCCCACTGTCTACCTGTAGGTTTCAAACCAGTCCTCCCGCTGCCTACCAGTAGGTCCAAACCAGTCCTCCCACTGCCTACCAGTAGGTCCAAACCAGTCCTCCCACTGCCTACCAGTAGGTCCAAACCAGTCCTCACACTGTCTACCAGTAGGTCCAAACCAGTCCTCCCACTGTCTACCAGTGGTCCAAACCAGTCCTCCCACTGTCTACAAGTAAGCCCAAACCAGTCCTCCCACTGTGTACAAGTAGGTCCATTCCATTCCTCCCACTGTCTACCAGTAGGTCCAAACCAGTCCTCCCATTGCCTACAAGTAGGTCCAAACCAGTCCTCCCACTGTCTACCAGTAGGTCCAAACCAGTCCTCCCACTGTCTACCAGTAGGTCCAAACCAGTCCTCCCACTGTCTACAAGTAAGCCCAAACCAGTCCTCCCACTGTGTACAAGTAGGTCCAATCCATTCCTCCCACTGTCTACCAGTAGGTCCAAACCAGTCCTCCCATTGCCTACAAGTAGGTCCAAAACAGTCCCCCCACTGTCTACCAGTAGGTCCAAACCAGTCCTCCCATTGCCTACAAGTAGGTCCAAACCAGTCCTCCCACTGCCTACAAGTAGGTCCAAACCAGTCCTCCCACTGCCTACCAGTAGGTCCAAACCAATCCTCCCATTGCCTACAAGTAGGTCCAAACCGGTCCTCCCACTGTATACTAGAAAAAACTTTCCATTCCATTACATCAGAGACCTACTATCCTTTCTATAGCATCAGGGAAGGGATGTTCTCTTCTATGAAACCAGTGAGCGGATGTCCCTTCTATTGCATCAGTGACCTGGTATCCTTTCTATAGCATAAGAGACTGGATGTCCCCTTCTATAGCGTCAGTGACCAAGTCTCACTTCTATAGCGTCAGTGACCAGGTGTCCCTTCTATAGAGTTAAAGACCAACTATCCCCTCTATGGCATCAGGGACGGGGTGTTTCCTTCTACGGCGCCAATGGCCAGGTGTCTCTTCTATAGCATATTTGTCTGGGTGTCCCTTCTATATCATCAATGACCAACTATCTCTTCTATAGCTTCAGTGACTGGGGGTCCCTTCTATAGCATCAATGACTCTGTGTCTTTCTATAGCGTCACTGACCAGCTATCCCTTCTATAGCATCAGTGGACATTTGTTCCCTTCTATAGAGTCAGTGACCAGTGGTCCCTTCAATATCTTCATTAACCAGATGTCCTTTCTACAGTGTGCTACCTTGATGCGCCTCTGCAGCGAGCTGATGTCTGGTCTCTCATTGCTGCTGCTGTCTAGATGCCTGAGGACAGAAGCAGAGGCGGATCGACCCGTCCAGTTAATGTTAGCTGTTAGAGCTCATCTGAAAGAAGAAGTTCTTATGCTGCTGTTTCAAAAATGAACACGCTGAAAGGATATGTTGAAACAACAAACAACACAGATGCTAGAGGAAGAGGACCTTACTTGTAAAGATCAGCCAGGAAGCAGTCGAGGGACTGAAGCTCCTCAAAAATGGCTGCAGAGACAAACAACAGCCATGACTCAGCAATCTATCGTAATACCTTTTATGTGGAGCTGTGAAACCCTACAGATGTTGGTCCATCTATGAACAGGCAGACAGAGCTTCAGGCCTGAGCAGCTTCAGACTCCTAACCTGCTTATAATTAGCAAAAAGACAGTTTCCAAATATATTCCATCTTCACTCTGCCTGTTGGAGGGAAGGTTGATGATGTAAGTACCAGATCTTTAAATAAAAAGTCTCAAGAATTCATTTTATTAAGATCTGAGGGCAGAGGAGGACAAATGGAACATCTTAAAAATGACTGTTGTGGAGATTTTAGTCAAAGAAAACAAGTTATTCTACTTTTAAAAAATGGACGGATGTTGACATAAAGTTAAAAGTAGTGTAGCTTAATATGGCTAACTGACTGGGCTACAAGAGGCTAACCCATTAGCTACTGAGTACAACTGATATCTATTTATTAACTGGATTGCTGATTGGCCGAAAAAAGTGAAGCCACCATCCGCCATGCTGGTACTCCCCACGCGCAGTAAAATGCCTACCTGTGTAGCATTTGGCAGCAAAAACAAGCAGTTTGCCGGCTGTGGGAAGATGTTTCACAGGTAATTTTACTCAGTGTTAGTTTGTGCATACATACTTGTATGCAGTGGAAGATCTAGGGAGCGGATACTTGCGCTACAGCCAAGGATGTTTCCCCAAGAGTCCTGGATCTCGCTTCTGAGCTGATCTGAGTAAAATGTGCAACTGTTGCTAAACAGATTGGTGTCCCAGGTATGTGAAGCTCTGACTGACTTTGTCCCGGTGTATGAAGTTCTGTTTCCCTTGTGTAGGGAGCGCGCATTGAAGCCAGAGAGGCCGACATGGCGGATGTGACCATTTTCACAGAGCTTCTCATCGATTACTCGCAAAAAACAACTCCTATAATCCTGTCATGTTTGCAACATCCAATTTATTCAGCAGCTGTTGTTTACAAAATTGTAAAAAAAATAAGCTGTTTAATAGAATCGTTTTTTTCCCCAACTTCTGTCACTTTAAGCCTGACTGAAATAAGTCAGTCTCCAAACACAATTTTCCAACACGTAGTGTGTATTTATTATTTTTCATTGTTGATATAAGAGGATGGAAACTGGCTGATAACAGGGCACAACAATTAAGAGTTCCTAATTCAATGACAGTGTAGACTTTCTGCTTAATCCCGTTCTAATGTAAAATATGACAGATTACTGGACTAAGGACATTTCTAGTATACGACATGCTATCACACATAAAATTATTTTAGAAATTTGGAAAAAAGTTTGCTCTTATAAGATATGGGAGGAGGAGAGGAGAGAATGGATATTTCAGCTGCCTGAAACAAACCGTTCCCCCTCCATAACATGGGAATAAATTAATTAACCTGCAAGTCTTTAATTGTGTTTATTCCTCTCTTCATCAATAATGATATTTAATCATTATTTGCCAAAGTTAAGAGAGGGAAATCATATATTTTAGCCACCTAATATAATCTATTAGAGATGCAATGTGATGTGCCTATTTTTTATATTAAAAGTTAAAGTAGCCAGTGTGTGTTAAAGTGATATATTCATCTTTATTTTAAAAGGCTTAAGTCCCCCTAAAAACAAGAACATCATTGTTTGATGCTGTAGCGCACATATCGTTTACACTGAGACCGCTCAAACTAGGGAGTACCAATATGGCGGACGGTGGCTCCAGTTCTATAACCTGACAACAGCCAGATGCATGTCTCGCTCCGCCTAGCTCCACTCACATACATCTGGGAACCTGCCATAGGAATTGCCTTTACTGAAGGCTGGGCCTTATCAAAACTCCTTGCATATGATTGGATAAGCCACTTGTCTGTCATCTTTATTGACGTGCTATTTCAACCACTCACACTGAAGCTAACCCGTGACGCTGTGAGAGGAGGAGCCATTTGGTAGATCAAGCTCTTGCCAAATCCGGTCGGGAGAAGGGCGAGAACATCGTTTCCACCAACAAAAGCCTTCAAAGCCGTTCTCTGATGTTCTTTTAATGAAACAATATCAGATAGATTGGACAACACAGAAGAAATAGCAGCATCAATGCTAACGCTTGCTTCCTCAATGCGAGCCGCCATTGTTGTTGGAATCTCACGGTCGCTTCTCCACTCCAGGACACACCCGCCCTGCGTTCTAATTGGACAGACCATAAATTCGGTTGGGGAAATCACTTTCAATGAGCGGGTTCCCAGATGTATGTGAGTGGAGCTAGATGGAGCAAGACATGCATCTGGCTGTTGTCAGGTTACCAGTTCTACCCCGTACTACAAAAGGGCAATCAGCAATCCAGTGAATAAGCAGATCAGTACTGAGCACAGCTAGCCACACCGCTACCCAGCTCTCCCCCTTTATACCATGATCTTTTATATTTCGTTACCAATAAGGTAAAACTTCAAAGGTCATTAGACACGCTAACGCTACAGATGCTTCTGACACAGCACACTTTATGGGTTATGATATTGTTGTCTGGGCAACCACATCATTTTAAGTAATCGTCGTAACGTTCAGCCAATCTTAGGATGTACCGTCACTGGCTTACCGAAAAAAGTCTGACTTCTATCGAGTTTAGTTTCCTCGTTTGCTGAACAGCATCAGCAGTGAGGCTGTTTGTTTGCCGCAGACCTTCAGCTCTGTCCGTCCTCTAGGACATAACGTCCAAAAATGAGACAGGTGATGCAAAGGGCTCTCACCACTCTTGTCAGTCCACACATGAAGCTCCTGGGCCAGCTCAGGTATGACCAGAAAGGTTCTCCAGCCCTGACGCTTCTTCGACTTGAGGATGTCTCCAAAGATGTGGTCTCCAATGTAGATGATGTCCTTCCCTTTAGCACCCAGCAGGTCACAAACAATGTCTGACGAACCTGAGAAAAAGAATAGAAACGTTTTAGTGGTCTGGCTGACGACTGCCTGCCACGTTGTAAAGGACATTCAGAACCGTGCTTCTTATGGCCTGGTTATCCTCCCGCAGCAGTGTGTCGCAGTGAGCTTGTCACAGATATTTTAGATTTCTGCCCAATATTGAAGCGTGGTCTGCTCTATGTTATTCCACACCACAACGCAAGAGGGACAATCAGGAACTAGCTGTGGGTCTAGATACGACCGAGGCGGTGAGGAAGTGGGGGCAAGTTTGTGTGACAACGGAGGGACATGGGACCGAATTCAAATGCATCTTCACAAGTCGTTTTCCACAATGGCGATCATACAAACAAAACAAGCCAGTAGGGTACCAAACAGGTAATACTCATAGTGTAGAGCGGATGTAGATTTGATCAATCAGTGGCCTCCTGTCTGCGGCACTGTCTGCGGTTAACTACAATTTTGGAGAGGTGCAGCAGAGTGTCTGTGGAAGGGACGGGGGCACATTTGCATTTACTGCGACACACGCAGACGACCTGGTTTCTGAGTATAAATCAGGCTTTAGACTATCATCAGTATAAATGCTCTCCAAACTGATCAGTTTATAGATGCTCCCTCCACATTGCGGTAATAAGGGACTCAGTCCTGGTTTATTTTCTATAATCTTTTTATGGAGTTTCTCTGAGAGAACACCAACAAAGGCTTTAGTAAACCAGATAAAGAAGCTCCAAAAACTCAGAACACCAATGAGGGAACAAATGTTTCCTCCATTTCTACTTAGACATATTTTATCCAATCCTGTAACGGTTAGAAGTAGGGTGGTGGCTTTTCCTGTTTCCAAAATGTTCTGTTTATTGTAGAGGCTGGAGATTACAGGGACATCAAATAACCCAGAAACATCTGGAGTATCATTAACCACAAAGTAAATGTTTGATAACCTTAACAAGGCTGGTCACTGCTCACAATGATCACAGGACTGGTTTGTCCCAAAACAAGATAGGATAGGATAGATCTAGTCTGTGTAGAACTCTGCACTGTAGTGGTGCATGAGACCGAGTGATGCACTCTCTAAGGTCTCCCAGCAGAGCTTCCTTCAGGTAGCCCTGATGCTCCTTATCTGACAGCTGACTGGAAATATCAGAGACTGAGCCTTTTTATATCCAGAGGACTGACTGAGGGATGAGGGAAACATCTGCAAACAAAACAACAGATTTAGAAGAATTCAAAGTCTATTTTATCAAAATTCAACTTTTATTAAATATTGTGTAAACCTTAGGGCTTCAACAGGGGTCCACGACCCCTAGGGAGTCCACCGAGGTACTGCATGGGGTTTGCTTAAAGGGGAACACTGTTTTTTTTTTACATTTGGCCCTTGATTTTATGTTATTACATTATGTTCTACTCACCCATATGAGTTTTGTGTCATTTGGAGCTGTTCTGAAGATATTCAGTTTTGTAATCCAAGTAACGTCTTCCTATGGGCAACGACTTGAAGGCACAAACTAAACTGTTCATAATCTATTCTCCATAAAGAATAAATTATGAGCAGTTTAGTTTGTGCCTTCAACTCGTTGCCCATAGGAAGACGTTACTTGGATATAACCTAACGGAATATCTTCAGAACGGCTCCAAATGACAAAAAACTCATATGGGTGAGTAGAACATGATGTAATAACGTAAAATCAAGGGCCCAATGTAAAACATACAGTGTTCCCCTTTAAGTTTTGGTTGATTTGCCTTTTCTTTTTTATTCTCCCCTGCAATTTTTTCCCACTAATTGAAATGTCTTTAAATCAACATTAACATGAATTCAACTCACTGTAGTAAACAGATAAATGGAGGCAGATGTCTTTCAGTCATCAATGCTCACATTCAGCGACACACAGGAGCTCTTTCAAGCTGGACACCGTTTCATTCACAACACCTGTTTCAAATGGGGTTTCAAGGTGTTTTGCAGTGTTTATTTTGGGAAACATTTTAGCGAGGCACATTTTTTCCCCCATTTTTTCTTTGTTTAATAACCTATAAATCTTGGTGACATTTAAAATAGGGGTTCCACCTGAAAAATATTGCTCAATGCCTTTCTGTCACAAAAATATAAACAACTATTTTTGCAATTTATAGTTTGGGAGCTGTAGTTGCTTTATCTACATATGTAATTTCAGGCGAAATTTGCTCCTAAGACCTTTATGGCTTAAGTGGTTAAAGCCTCAGTTCGATACTGAAGAATTCAATGCCTTGTAAGGCGTTTCAAACAGGAAGTCTGTTTCCCACTTAAAAAACCAGGAATTATAAAAAGGTCTGAATACTTTTGCGAGGTGCTGTGTAATAATGGAGGCTTAGGAAATAGTCGGCCTGGGCTGGACCGGACCACTTGAGGTTTTACCTCCAGAGTAGACGATGCCGTGCTGCAGAGGTCCGGTGTAAGTTCCGATCTTCAGCCGACCTGTGGTCTAAACCAAACGAAAGCCTCGTCACACACGTCCAGATCTCCACAAACATCAAGGTTCTGTCTGTGCTCGCTTACAGTGTCGACCTGCCGCAGGACGGTTCCCTCCCCAAAGAACATGGGCTTGCGGGCGTCCACCAGGATCAGATCGAAGTAGGACTGCCAGGGCCGGTGGGGCATGCCGGGCTGCAGGGACAGCAAACACATCGTTCAGCAGCTGATGCTACGCAGCGCTCAGACGGCTGTAAATGGCATACGCACCTTCGAGCCGTGAGGGAAGTCAAACAGGTAGGTCATGATTTTCTGCAGGAAGAAAGGAAGATATTAGAACAGCAGCTCATATGCTGCAGGTTGGAGGATGCATCAGAACATTAGGAGGGATCAGGATAAAGAGGCTCAGTTCCTCCTGCTGCTAAACGTCTTCAGAGTCATTACGGTCCCACCCAGAAACACCATCAGGTCTGCAGACTCACCTCTGTGTATTTATAGTCGCTGTTAGTGGCCAGGAACACCTTGGCTACTTCAGTCATGCGGCTGAGGAGCAGAGGGAGCTTTGGCTGTCCAGACAAGACAACACAAGTCAAACCCAACACTTCCTCACAGCTACAGGCCAGCTCTCACTGTGACTAGAACTCACTTACATCCTTCACCACATACTTCTCCAGGTTCTCAACGGTCTTCTCCTTCAACGATCCCTGTGGGAACCAGGTGAGAGACAGCATAGAGGGTGATCAGGGCGAGAATGGAAGCAGGGAGATCATCCAGGACCAGAAACAGGATGGGGTTACCTTGAAGTGGACCCAGTCCACAGCGTCTCGCACGTCTTGGAACATACTCTTGTACGACATGAACAGGTCTCCATCTTTGAAGCCAGATTCACAGCTGCAGAAGGGTTGACAGAACAAGTCATTCAGAAGCATCAACCGGACCGGGGTCATTCAGCCGACATCCTCAGACTCCAGGAGGGGTTCTCCAGACCTTCTACAAACATTTCAAAGCTCCTCCTCTTGGTTTATTCTACAACCCCACCCTCCCATACCCAGAGAATGGGCTTACCTGGCATATCTGGGGCAGTTACTGAAGAAGTCCACCAGGCAGGCGAACAGGTACATCTCTGCAGAGGGAAGGAGAGAACCGTCGGGTTATAGAGGAGGGGTGAAAGGTAAGAAACAGTTTCTTCCGGAAGAAACTTGGAAAGTCTAATTTACTGGGAAGTTTTCTTTCTTTTGGTGAATATTTTGCCTGAGGCAGACCCAAACCCAGTAATAACCTGGAGATGGGTTTCAATATCTATAAACCAGGGAGGTTTGGGAAGAGCAGAAGACATTAAAGACTAAGAATGAGCCGGTGGAACCTGAGGATACAAGAGTTTTTTCTACCAATTAAAGGCTATTACTTGTGATGTCATGAGACGAGCCGAGGCTTAGAAGCTTGGAAGTAGTGGAGTGCGAAACGCATATCAAGGCATGCTTCATTTAGGGGAGGGGCCAAAATTGATAGATGTCCGAAGCCTCGCTAGCACCATACCACATTACCGCCCCAGGAAGTGGTTCAGCTCGCTTGGAACTTCGACAGGCGTTTATACAGTTTGTAGGAGAGTTGATGTCAGTTGGATAGAGGTTGGATAGATTGGTTGAAAAAAACAACTAATCTAGTTGGTTAAAACTACTATGTTTAGATCAAACAATATAATAATCAGAATCTGATTATGCCACTGGTTTCAGTTGAATTATTATTCTGTAGTGTTTTCTTCCTTTTTTTTGAGTTTTTTACGGCACTAGTGGCTCATTTTTCTACAGTAGGCTGACAGGAAAGGGGGTATGGTTTATACCACATGTCGAATTGGAAACTGGGTCAGCCACGTCAAGGACTAAGGTCGCCGTACATGGGCTGTGCGTGCTAACCACTGTGCCACCTGCACACCCCGTAGTGTTCCTTTCTGAGGATGAGATAGTAGTGCAAGTAGTGTCTGCAGTAAGACATTGCCTAGCAATCCAAAGGTTGTGGCTTCGAGACTTGGTATAAGCTTTTGAAAATTGCTGTACTGCTTAACCACCATTTTGGCCAAAGTGACCATTTTTTATTTTACCAAAGGTGTAACTTTGTGGCTGATGGAGCTACAGTTATTCAAACAACGCGCTTTCATTAGGTTTTTGTATTGTCCAAAAATGAGCTCAAACATATATTTATTGAATGCTTTCCTATTGATGAAAAACACATGAGAACCACAATACACTGATATTTATACGAATAGGTAGTAAGAGAGATGCCTTTTAGGGCATTACATAGGTATGTATAAAAAATAACGAATAACAGCCGATTCCAATGCTAAAATCGATATATTATGCCTAAAGTACAATTTCAATTCCATCCAGAAAACTATGGATATGCTGCATTTTAAATATAGCATAGCCTATTTTCCTCTTGTAAACTTTCTGGTAAACATGGAGATATATTTTATTGCATGTTGCATATCCCAGTAAATCTGTTTACCCTTTAAATCTACAGCTCTCCCTACTTATATCTGCTTAAAAACATTTATGAAGCTCTTTGCTGATATTATGATGCCTGAAACTATATTTCAAGATATGCAGAAGCTCAGCAGTCTGATTCTGTCTGTACAATAAGAAAACATTTTAACCTGTAACTGGGAGTCATGGTCATCTGAGAAGCCAAGATTTTATAGTAAAGAATAACATTTAAACCATATTTTCTCAAGCTTCTTGCATTATAATACTAACTTGTATAATCTTATAATCTGTTGTTGTTTTTGCTGAAAAAGCTCTGTATGTCAAAAAAACTGATTTTTCGGTGGCATCTCTAATTTTTTAACCTCCTGTCTCCTAACTTTTGATTAAATATTGAAGTAGCTGCTCATGTAGCTTCTCTCCTTGCGCTGTGAAATGGGCCGCAAATCAGATGTCTCAAAGCGACAGATCCAATGATGTAACACCGAGAGGCGGGACACGGGAGCAGCATGAGAGAAAAAAACACTGACTCAAAACGCTCTGAACAGAGATAGCTGCACCCAACCTCTGTTACCTTTGGCTAAAGGAAATGAGCAGAAAGGGGGGAAAAGCAGAGATTATTGGTGGGGACTGAACACACCAGTCCTTCAGAAAGTTACACCTGTCATTTTTATCAACATAAATTGGGTAAAAAAGCTGCCAAATTAGATTTGCTGGTTTAGCAAAAAGATTGGTTGAACACATAACTCCCAACCAAAAACTGTGGAAAAAAATATTATTTTTGAATAGAAAAGACTAAAACCTTTCATTTTGCTCATCATTGCCTAATTTGCACAAAGACTTTCACCGTCTGCTTCAGCTCATTTAACTAAAATGGCAGAAAAACAATGATTTTTCTCTTCTAAGACGTTTTACATGTAAAAAAAACAAATAAAGAAAACAGAAGATTTTTTTATACACACCAATCATGGACAATTTCAAGGGGACTTAAATAATTATATTACTAACTGTAGTTCTGTACTCCACCAGTAGGTGGTGACATGTTCACATTAAGCTTCATGAACTGTGGGGATTGTTAAAGCAATTAGCCCAAATGGCACAATGAGGCTTCATCTCACCATCACTAGCTGTTAGAAAATTATAACTTCTGATTTTTTTTAATTTTATATACTCTAATAATCCCAGAGGGAAATTACTTCTCTGCATTTAACCCATCCCCTTGGGGAGCAGTGGGCTGCCATTGTGAGGCGCCCAGGTTAAGGGTCTTGCTCAGGGTCCCAGAGTGGCAGTCTGTGGGAGTGGGGGATCAAACTCACAATCTCAGGATTCAAAGCCCTATGCCCTAACCACTAGGCCGCCACTCCCCATTCCAAATATGTAATTTCCTGATGGGTTTTGTCAGGTGGAGTGATGGGTTTTCAATGGAACTTTCCAAGTTCTCCAATATAGGATCTATTCCAAGGACTTTCTTCCAATTTCTTCCACAACCCTGGGTGGCACTGATGCCACACTATGCTACCTTTACTGCCTTTGTGATGATTGGATTATCATTAGTACTTGGATGATTGCAGAGCTTTTCAGACTCAATAATGAATGATAGATTTAGAAATTATAAATAGATCCCAGAGTGATAATGTTTGCTTCCAGCGTCCGGGCGAAGCAAACTAACCTGGCAAGTTGAAGAGAGTGTTGAGGATGTAGAAACGGTCTGTATCTCCACGCTGGATGAACTTGTTAGGGTACATCTCTCTGATCTCTGGTCTGTTCACAGAAGGAAAAGGTCAGCTGATTCCACACACACGTTCTCTGTGAGTGTGGCTCTGAATGAGGGAGACACTCATAGTGAGAGGAACAATATTAAAGAAATGCAAAACTAGGTAATCACATTGGTCATCATGGCGCGAGGTTAACTGAAGCACAGCAATGAATGAACGAGATAGCGACAGCAAACGCAGACGGTGAGAGAATTGCCAATCAGCTGCCTCAAATAGCAGAAAACCGATTGGCCGAATTTAGGTGTTCAGGCTGAAGTATAACTAACTGGCCTGCATAAGATAACAAAAAAAAACAACACAGATTTTAAGACAGGATTTTTTTTTTAAATAGAAATTTTCTAAATTTTGGGACAATATCGTCTGATATACATTTATATCAGACGATATTGTACATTTATAAACATTTTAAGCCAGAATGATTTGACATTTAAATATGACTTCCTTAAGACTTTAAATAGGGATTTCAGAGTGTGAGGCTCACCCCCTCAGGAAATTAAAACCATGTGCGCACACCAGGATGTTCCCATAGGCGTCCACTTTGAGCAGGTTACCAAACATGGTGTCAAACACCAGACCTCTGAGATGAAGCAGAGGGCAGAGAAAACGTCAGAAAAGTCGATCATGCATCACAAGGAATCAGAAAACAGGCCAAGACCCACCTGGTGGGGAAGGAAGGATCGTAGACAAAGTTCAGCAGCTCCTGGGGATAACCAATAGAAACGAGGCGCTCCACTGTCAGGTCGAACCCCAGCGACTCGTACTCTGGAGATTTATACACTGGAACGCACAGAAAAGGAGACAGGATGACGAGAACCTCTATTCTGGTTAGTGAGAAACAGGGACTGCTAACGGCAGGCTTAACCCAAAACGGCTCTGTGTCAGCTGCTAACAATTCATACGGAGCAAAAAGGACCAATAATGTCCTTAACAAACCCTGATAATAAAAATAAATTATTCATTCTAGATCTGATATTTACTGGATAACACTGTGAGAGTTGACATTTAATTTCCTTCCAGAAACATGCCTTCTTATTAAAGTCGTAGGGAAACGGCCGTTTCAACAGTTTCTCCTTTATTCTCCCGAGTGGTGCGCGAATTTACAAGAGTGAATTAAGCGGATGTGATGGTTGATTATCAAGGGGACGGGATCGTTGTGGCGGAAGGTTTGCAAGCAAGTTTGATTGTGGCCGGTTTCTCGGAAGCATCTTAGTAACCAGTTAGCAACTTAGTGCTAGTAGGTTCCCAATGGGAAATTCCATTGGGACCAAGTAGCACTAAATTGGTGAGTTAGCAACGTCACTGTCAAGGAACGCTATGGACAGAGGAAACATGCAACAGGAGGAGAGTTTAGTGTCGGAGGTCGTGGATGAGTCTTCTCCGTCATCCATTTTTTATTTAGAGGAGGAAAACGGGGATGAAGATGTTGTGGAAGAGGACGCCAGGGCAGCAGAAGCTTGGTTTGGTGTAGAAGGCTTCCAGCCGTACATGTTTGAGCCCTTGCCTCGTAACGCTGCCAGTTCTGTTAGCTCTACGCCTGCTGAAGACACAGACGTCCATCCCTGTGAACACTGGGACAGAATTCAATAAGTTATTCTTATTTCAACCGTTGTGTATATTAGCTGCAACATATGAATCAAGATGCTATGACCAAAAAAACTTGATTGACACATGGCCGTTGATATGTGTGATTGACTGAATTCAGGTGTTCAAGCTGACGTATATCTTAAGTCCAATTTATGGTTCTGAAGCATAGCCTCTGCAACCGTCAAATCTGTCTCTGTGCATGACCACGCCCTCCGCACAGAGGTTCTGCAACTGTCATCACACACCTAAAAAAAAGCCTGACTACGCGTCGGATGGTCACAAACCCGCGCAGACGTCAAGCTGAAGTGTGCAGACTAAAAGCAGCTGTGATTGGTCCTTGGTATGCCTTTCTGGCTGCTTGTGTGGTCATCCTTCTTGATTCGGTGCCGGGGCGCGCCATTTTTAAAAACTGAGGAACAACTACAATGGACAACTACGACAAAAGGTTAATCGGTCTTTTTGCCAACTCCCTTAACAGAACCTGTTCTTCTTCGATCTCTAGCAACTCTAGATCCCTCTCCGTGACCGTGATATCTTGCAGACGCGCCATTGTTGTTTTGGAAGATAAACACTCCCGCCGATGCCGCCGAAGTTCTCTAATAGGCTCCCCCTAGTGCTTTGGTGGGAAACTGCTGTGCGTCCCAGATTTTAAGACAGGATTTTATAATAAGATAGAAATTTTCTACATTTTGGGACAATATTGTCTGATATAGAGTACATTTATATACATGTTTAAGCCAGAATGATTTGACATTTAAATATGATTTCCCTACGACTTTAAATAAAAAGAAAATATTCAAAAGCCAATTTGCATGAATAATTCTCAGCTTAAATTAATGTATTTAGATCTAATTCTACATTTCTAATAACAATCATGTTGTAGTTCTGCAGTGTTAGCGGGAATATTTCTCATTTGGAACAGTAACTGGACCTACCAGCTAGAGTGTAGTCCATATCGAACCCAAAGCACTTGATTTTCTCCATGGCAAGGCTCCGGTTAACAAACACCCTGCAAAAAAAGGAATCTGGTAACCATTACAGCCAGCAGAGCCCAGTTCGAACTGGGATTCAGGCTGAGACTCTATACTAAGGGTTTAAGGATGGTTTATACGATGCTTGATGTGTCACAGAAGAAACGTGAGTAAAAAAAGTGACATTTTTGTCAAAACTTCAAAGAGCAAAATAAAAAATACTCGCAAGGATATGAAATTACTTTCGAACATGAGTTCATCTAATGTTGCGCAGAAAAAGCCACCAGCACGAGGAACTGCAGCTTCTGGGGAGAAAATAGCTCTGCTGATTCCTAGCACACGCAGTGAGAATCTCACCACACATGTGCAAAAGCTGTTCTACTCGTGCACGGGTTTCTGTCCAGTGCCCTTACTCGCAGACGACTGCGCTCTCGAAGGTGCGGTTTTCACAGGTGGGGTGGAGATATTCCTCTTCTGTAGGCCTCTTCCTGATTGGCTCATGAAGACATGATCACAAAAAAGTAGTGTCTGGAAGGCTTGAACTGACAGCATTATCTTTGAGCGAAGACAATGGCTGAAGGTGGCACAGTGGCGAAGGTCTCTGCAATGTTCGCGGTACATAGGTTAAGTGGAATTCAGAGCAGTTCTTCCCAAAAAGGCACTAATATCCCCCAGTAAGTAGTGCTATACTTCCTGTTTCATTGTGAGCGCCTCCCTGGGTGCACATGGGAGGAACAGGTGCACCCGCGATGCTATTTTCTCCATGGAAGCTGCAGTTCCTCAAGCGTGTCAGATTATTTTTTGTGCCATGATTAAGGAACTCATGCACGAACGTAGTTTAACATATTCGTGATGTGATGCGATAGGAAAGGATTCTCCCACATCACAGAAGACATGCAGCAAACAGTCGCTTTAGGTTATTCTATCATGTGGCGACATTAGGGTGTTACTGGGATGATGAAGGGAAGCACATCAGAGGTAGTGAGAATTGTCCGCTTCGGACCTAAATGCTGCACAGTGGAAACAATGAACATAGCTGAATATGGCAAAGCGTAGCTGAACATGAGCTTAACATGGCTTTACAAACCTGAACATGACTAAGTGTAGCTGAACATGGATTAGCATAGCTGAACATGGCTTAGCATAGGTGAACATGGCTTAGCATAGCTGAACATGGCTTAGCATAGCTGAACATGGCTAAGTGTAGCTGAACATGGCTTAGCATAGCTGAATAAGGCTAAGTGTAGCTGAACATGGCTTAGCATAGCTGATATTGGCTTGCAATAGACCACAGGTGTCAAACTGGTTCCAGAAAGGGCTGTGTGACTGCAGGTTTCTTTCCAACCAAACAATAGCACAACAGACTCCATTCATATCATCAAGCCATCACATTCAGATTGGACTCCCTTTTATAAGTTGACTGGAGTCTGGTGTGCTATTGCTTGGTGGGAAAGAAAACCTGCAGTCACACGGCCCTTTCTGGAACCAGGTGGACATACCTGCCATAGATGTACATGGCTAAGCGTAGCTGAACATGGCTTAGCATAGCTGAACATGGCTTAGCATAGCTGAACATGGCTGAGTGTAGCTGTACATGGCTTAGAGTAAATGTACATGGCTTACCGTAGATGTATATGGCTAAGCATAACTGTACATGGCTAAGCATAGCTGAATATGGCTTACCATAGCTGAACATGGCTTACGATAGCTGAACATGACTAAGCATAACTGAACATAGCTAAGCGTAGCTGAACATGGCCTAGCATAGCTGAACGTGGTTTAGCATAGCTGAACATGGCTAAGCATACCTGAACATAGATTAGCGTAGCTAAACATGGCTAAGCATAGCTGAACATGGCTTAGCATAGCTGAACATGGCTAAGCGTAGCTGAACATGGCTTTGCATAGCTGAACGTGGTTTAGCATAGCTAAACATGGCTAAGCATAGCTGAACATAGATTAGCGTAGCTGAACATGGCTAAGCATAGCTAAACATGGCTAAGCATAGCTGAACATGGCTTAGTATAGCTGAACATGGCTTAGCATAGCTGAACATTGCTTAGCATAGTTGAACATGGCTTAGCATAGCCGAACATGGTTTAGTATAGCCGAACATGGCTTAGCGTAGCTGATCATGGCTTAGCATAGCCGAACATAGCTTAGTATAGCCGAACATGGTTTAGTATAGCCGAACATGGCTTAGCGTAGCTGAACATGGCTAAGCGTAGCTGAACATGGTTTAGTATAGCCGAACATGGCTTAGCGTAGCTGAACATGGCTTAGCATAGCCGAACATAGCTTAGTATAGCCGAACATGGTTTAGTATAGCCGAACATGGCTTAGCGTAGCTGAACATGGCTAAGCGTAGCTGAACATGGCTTAGCATAGCTGAACATGGCTAGGCATAGCCGAACATGGCTTAGCGTAGCCGAACATGGCTTAGCGTAGCTGAACATGGCTTAGCGTAGCTGGCATTCTGTTGTACCCTTCCTTTAAACTTTCCTTCTCTGTGTTATGGACTAAATCTGCTGCAGAGACACCAAGTCAGAACTTCTTCTCACCCAAGAACATGATGGATCTTGAAGAGCCTTTATTAGATAGACCAACACTAAGAAATATGTTCTTGAAGGGGAAGGAGGAACACAGCCTCCAGAGCCACAAGGTGCAGCTGAGATTTACCCTGATTTCAACTGCCTGAGACCCTGATTATACTGTAGGGTTAAATAATCTGTGGCAGCGGGATCATTTCCCAGCAGACTGGATGTAGATTGGTCAAATGAGAGATCATAGACATTATGGAGGAAGATTAGGAAAGCTACAGGAACAAAACACTCACATGGACCACCATCTGGAGGTCGTATCAGTACGGAAACAGGTTTATGGGAGAATGATGTAATTTCATGGAAACACTAATACCAGTTTTTTTCAACAACAGAAGGATTGCGTACCTCATTGCAGGATGAGCCAGATCCCTCGGAAAGCTTTGTAATAGAAAATAAATGGATTACGAGTGATCGCATAACTGCTGAGCCACAAATGATAACATCATACCAACATGTCCAATCTAATGTGACTAGATCTGCAGCCACAAGTGATCAATAAATAATTTCCTCAACAGACCTGGGTTAGTTTAGAGTATAACAAACATAAATACAAAATGATCACTTTAGAGGCAAACATACGGAAGCGTATTGCATTCACCAAAGAAAATAAATTCTGACGGCTTATCATAATTACGAGATCGGTATCTCGAAATTATGAGATCTTTTCTCATAATTACGAGACACGATCTCATAATTAAGAGATAAAATGTCATATGTAGGAGATCAGGAACTAGCTGTGGGTCTAGATACGGTTGAGACGGTGAGAAAGTAGGGAAGTGGGGTTTGTGAGACAACGGAGGGACATAAGGGCAAAAAAGAGCGGAGATACAGGTGGAAAAAGGGTGCCAGCATTCTAGCGCACCGCTCTCTTCTAGCTGGTCCAACTTCACCAGTCTTTTTACAGAATGGCGGTCAAACAAACAAAGCAACCCAGTAAGGTAGCAAACAGGAAATACGCATATTGTAGAGCGGATTTAGATTTGACCAATCAGAGGCCTCCTGTCTGCGATCACCTACAATTTTGGAGAGGTGCAGCAGAGTGTCTGTGGAAGGAGCGGGGACATATGTTCGTTAACTGTGACACACACGCAGACCACCTGGTCCTTAGGATTGTTTAGGCGAAAAAGCCCACTCTACTCTGACTCTGAAGTCGCACTGTTCCTGCAGGAGCAGTGAAACCAGCAGGGGATGCTTCATAAATGAATGCATCTGAAATGCATTCCAGCTGGCAGCTTCAGAAGTGTTTAAAACGACCGGGAAAAACTAAACTAAAAAAACTATGAAAAATTAAAACCAAACGGAATCTGTATTAATGGAGCTGTTGACGGATATTGGCATGTGGTAAGGCTGCATGCTTACTCCACAAGTAGTAATCCCAGGGCTATAAATGGGTACTTTATTGATGAAGTGGAAAAAAGGAGTGGAACTCCAACACGTGTCAGGTCAGACCTCGGCACAGAGAACTGTTGAGTGGAACGGATGCAGATATTCTTAAGAAGCAATAATGAAGACCAGTTTTCTGAGAGAAGTGACATTACTGGCTCAAACAATTATGACCAAATATATAGGAAAGATCTCGTGTTTATGAGATCTTTCCTCATAATTACAAGATAAGATGCCATAATTATGAGATCAGTAACTTGTAATTATGAGATCTAATCTTGGAATTATGAGATAAGCTGCTGTTTTTTTTCTTTGGTGAATGCAGTACGCTTCCGTACAAACATACAAGTTAGCTAAACATCACATACATTCAGTAACATGAGAGGTAAACAAGGACTTGGTGGTTCTGTTTAGAGAGAGGCTGCTGACTCTAATGCTACGTTCACACCTTAAGCAGCAGAGGCAGCAGGTGCAGCTAGTTTACATGCAGTCAATGGTTGACGCGCATCAAGGTGCAGCAAAAGGTCCTGCAGCGTGTTTTGAGCAGCAGGAGCAGCGTGTCATGAACTTCTGAGCATCTGATGCGCTGCAAACGCAGCAGCTGCTGGAGTTGGAAAAATTTTACTTCTACTGCTGGATGCGCCACATCAACCAATCAGAGAAGCTGATCTGGGAGCTGGCAGGGAGACAGACACAGCACTGCTGAAGCAGAGAACTATGATCACTCCTCTGAAACAGTTTATTAACGGCTAAATTAACTGAAAATGACGGGATCTGCCGGGAAAACATGTTTGATTTTATTATCCTGGTGCCTGCAGTTTGGATTACGTAGCGCAACCGCGGCAAACTGCCAAGGAACGACCGGGCTAGAGGCTGCTGTTGAATAGGATTCCTAGTGACAGCGCACCGCCGATATGTGGGGGTCTGAGCAGCTCTGACAACGAAACATTATTTGTAGGCAGGATGGTAATCTGGATGTACCAACTGCACAGATTAAGTTTTCAAGTGGACCTTCTCACTTGAAAAACATATTAAAACTACTTTTTACCCACTGATCACTGCAAATATAGCTTCCATTGTAACAGGCAAAGAAAGGATAGGGTAGCTCCGCCCACCGCCGACCATTGACTTTGCATGTAAACTAGCTGCTTCCGCTGCCTCTGCTGCTTGTGGCCTGAACGTAGCATTAGCGATCATTCACTGAGCTCAGGACTGACTGGAGGAGAAAGAAACTTTTTTTTGGTCCAACATAACCTTAGAGGCATTAATGCTGATACTGGCTCTTACATTTGTTAGTTTATAAACCTAAATATAATTGTTAACTAGGTTTATTAACTTTTAAACTTTTCAATTAGTTTTTTACCTTTTTTCTTGACTTTGTAACTTTTTTTCCAACTCAATTTACAGTAGGTAATATATCATTAAAGGGATCATCTAATCGTTGAAATGACAAAGTAAGATTTACAGCCATGTAGCAGCATCTTTGCTGAATGGCTGAATATAGATCTTGTGCTTTTAGACCTCACTGAGGGATGGGGGGTAACTTGCCCTATAAAGCAGGAGATCCCTGCTGTAGGAGCTCTATGTTCCCAGGAAGAGCTGCTCACGATCATAAGGGGCTTGAAAAAAGAGCACCCAGGGAAGCCCAACCAGGAAACAGGGAGGGAAGTTCATAAAAGAAAAATCAGGAACCTACAATAGAAACTAGCGTGGATATGATTGGTGTGCTGTCAGAGCTGGGTCTGCCAACAGACATGTGCGAATGTACCTGTGGTGAGCTTCACGCCGATATTTCTTCATAGCCATGCCGTCCATGTTAGCTGGTAGCTCAGCACAGTTCTGCAGGCGGTCACTCCATGAAGTCGTCATCTTTAACCGTTAAAAATGGTCCTGCAATGAATCAGAACCAGGCTGGTCACCTTCAGAGCAATGAAGAGACTGAGAAAGAAAGAAGGCTGTTGCACTTTTTCAGGCTGGATTCCCCTGGGAAACGTCTGAAAAATACAACAAAGGACTACTGCTCTACGGATACAATCATGTGCATTTGAACATCAAATCTAAACTTTTGTTAAAGATTCTCATGAGTCTGGTTGTTTTCTTGTCCTGTAGGTAACTATAAGATCTAAAGGATAAGAACACATGGCATACTATGCATCCTGTACCTTATTATGTCACGGTCTTGGTTCTGTTTAAGTTTTCAGTTTCACTTTGATCCATGTTTTCCTTTATTTTATTGGTTTCATTCCTATTTGGTGGTGTTTTCTGGATAGATTTGAGTTCTTAGGCATTGCTTGAATGTCTCCTTTTCCCTAGCTCCTTTCCAGAATGCTCTGTTAACACCTGCTCCCAATCAACTCATTAGATGTAGACTTAGATTTATTGTCATTTTGTATACACAAGTGTAAACAAAAAGAAATTTAGTTCAGGACGGCTCTATAGATGATCTCATTCTTCAAAGTGCAGCCTTGACAAGGCAAGCAGTAGTGATAAAAAAAACGCCAAAACATTGTGATATTAAGTCACTATATCTACAGTCATGGTCAAAAGTTTTGAGAATGATTCAAATGTTAATATTTACAAAGTCTACAGCTTCAGTTTTTATAACGGCAATTTGCATATACTCCAGAATGTTATAAAAAGTGATCAGCATAACAGCAATTAGTTGCAAAGTCAATATTTGCCTAGAAAATGAACTTTATCCCCCAAAACACATTTCAACGTCATTGCAGCCCTGCCTTAAAAGGACCAGCAAACATTGTTTCAGTGATTGCTCCATTAACACAGGTGTAGGTGGTGATGAGGACAGGGCTGGAGATCAATCTGTCATGTTTAAGTAAGAATGACACCACTGGACACTTTAAAAAGAGGCTGGTGCTTGACATCATTGTTTCTCTTCTGTGAACCATGGTTATCTCTAAAGAAACACGTGCAGTCATCATCGTAGCTAGAAAGATTGCACCTCAGTCAACAATCTATCGCATCATCAAGAACTTCAAAGAGAGAGGTTCCATTGTTGCCAAAAAGGCTCCGAGGCGCCCAAGAAAGACCAGTAAGCACCAGGACCGTCTCTTTAAAGTGTTTCAGCTGCGGGATGGGGCTACCAGCAGTGCAGAGCTTGCTCAGGAATGGTAGCAGGCGTGAGTGCATCTGCACGCACTGTGAGGCAGAGACTCTTGGAGCAAGGCCTGGTCTCAAGGAGGGCAGCAAAGAAGCCACTTCTCTCCAGGAAAAACATCAGGGACAGACTGATATTCTGCAAAAGGTAGAGGGAGGGGACTGCTGAGGACTGGGGTAATGTCATTTTCTCTGTTCAATCCCCTTTCGGATTGTTTGGGACATCTGGAAAACAGCTTATTCAGAGAAGACGAGGTGAGCGCTACCATCAGTCTTGTCTCATAACAACTGTAAAGCATCCTGAAACCATTCATCTGTGGGGTTGCTTCTCAGCCAAGGGAGTCGGCTCTCTCACAGTCTGACCTAAAAACACGGCCATGAATAAAGAATGGTAGCAGAATGTCCTCAGAGAGCAACTTCTCCCAACCGTCCAAGAGCAGTTTGGTGATGAACAATGCCTTTTCCAGCATGATGGAGCACCTTGCCATAAAGCAAAGGTGATATCTAACTGGCTCAGGGAACAAAACATAGAGATTTTGGGTCCATGGCCTGGAAACTCCCCTGATCTTAATCTCATTTAAAACTTGTGGTCAATCATCAAGAGACGGGTGAACAAACGAAAACCTAGGAATTCTGACAAAATGCAAGCATTGATTGTGCAAGAATGGACTGCTATCAGTCAGGATTTGGTCCAGAAGCTGATTGAGAGCATGCCAGGGAGAATTGCAGAGGTCCTGAAGAAGAGGGGTCAACACATCAAATATTGACTTGCTACATTAACTAATTCTAACTCATTAAACGCTTTGGTTACTCATAATATGATTGCAATTGTATTTTAGTATGTGATGACAATATCTGACATACACATGAAAACCAGAGGGCAGTAGATCATGTGAAAATATAATATTTGTGTCATTCTCAATACTTTTGGCCATGACTGTAGTTATGGAATGCACATCATTCATCTTTGCTTGGCAGCAGTGATGTCAGGTGGATATGGGTCGGATCTTAGCATTCAAATGGGATTTTTACCCTGGTGGAAGAGGACCTGATGCTGTAGCATTAGGGGCCTGTCTGCCTTTAACTGGATAATCACACAGCTGTCCGCCTTTATTACTGGATAATCAAACATCTGTCTGCCTTTATTACTGGATAATCAAACATCTGTCTGCCTTTATTACTGAATAATCAAACATCTGTCTGCCTTTATTACTGAATAATCACACAGCTGTCTGCCTTTATTACTGGATAATCAAACATCTGTCTGCCTTTATTACTGGATAATCAAACATCTGTCTGCCTTTATTACTGAATAATCACACAGCTGTTCGCCTTTATTACTGAATAATCACACAGCTGTCCACCTTTATTACTGAATAATCACGCAGCTGTCCGCCTTTATTACTGAATAATCACACAGCTGTCTGCCTTTATTACTGGATAATCAAACATCTGTCTGCCTTTATTACTGAATAATCACACAGCTGTCTGCCTTTATTACTGGATAATCAAACATCTGTCTGCCTTTATTACTGGATAATCACACAGCTGTCTGCCTTTATTACTGGATAATCAAACATCTGTCTGCCTTTATTACTGGATAATCAAACATCTGTCTGCCTTTATTACTGAATAATCACACAGCTGTCTGCCTTTATTACTGGATAATCAAACATCTGTCTGCCTTTATTACTGAATAATCACACAGCTGTCTGCCTTTATTACTGGATAATCAAACATCTGTCTGCCTTTATTACTGGATAATCAAACATCTGTCTGCCTTTATTACTGAATAATCACACAGCTGTCTGCCTTTATTACTGGATAATCAAACATCTGTCTGCCTTTATTACTGAATAATCACACAGCTGTCTGCCTTTATTACTGGATAATCAAACATCTGTCTGCCTTTATTACTGGATAATCAAACATCTGTCTGCCTTTATTACTGAATAATCACACAGCTGTCTGCCTTTATTACTGGATAATCAAACATCTGTCTGCCTTTATTACTGGATAATCAAACATCTGTCTGCCTTTATTACTGAATAATCACACAGCTGTTCGCCTTTATTACTGAATAATCACACAGCTGTCCACCTTTATTACTGAATAATCACGCAGCTGTCCGCCTTTATTACTGAATAATCACACAGCTGTCCGCCTTTATTACTGAATAATCACGCAGCTGTCCGCCGTTATTACTGAATAATCACACAGCTGTTCGCCTTTATTACTGAATAATCACGCAGCTGTCCGCCTTTATTACTGAATAATTACACAGCTGTCTGCCTTTATTACTGAATAATCACGCAGCTGTCTGCCTTTATTACTGAATAATCACACAGCTGTCCGCCTTTATTACTGAATAATCACGCAGCTGTCCGCCTTTATTACTGGATAATCACACAGCTGTCCGCCTTTATTACTAAATAATCACACAGCTGTCTGCCTTTATTACTGAATAATCACGCAGCTGTCCGCCTTTATTACTGAATAATCACGCAGCTGTCCGCCTTTATTACTGGATAATCACGCAGCTGTCCGCCTTTATTACTGGATAATCACACAGCTGTCTGCCTTTATTACTGAATAATCACGCAGCTGTCCGCCTTTATTACTGAATAATCACACAGCTGTCTGCCTTTCTTACTGAATAATCACACAGCTGTCCACCTTTATTACTGAATAATCACGCAGCTGTCCGCCTTTATTACTGAATAATCACACAGCTGTCTGCCTTTATTACTGAATAATCACGCAGCTGTCCGCCTTTATTACTGAATAATCACACAGCTGCCTGCCTTTATTACTGAATAATCACGCAGCTGTCCGCCTTTATTACTGAATAATCACTCAGCTGTCCGCCTTTATTACTGAATAATCACGCAGCTGTCCGCCTTTATTACTGAATAATCACGCAGCTGTCTGCCTTTATTACTGAATAATCACTCAGCTGTCCGCCTTTATTACTGAATAATCACGCAGCTGTCCGCCTTTATTACTGAATAATCACGCAGCTGTCCGCCTTTATTACTGAATAATCACACAGCTGTTCGCCTTTATTACTGAATAATCACGCAGCTGTCCGCCTTTATTACTGAATAATTACACAGCTGTCTGCCTTTATTACTGAATAATCACGCAGCTGTCCGCCTTTATTACTGAATAATCACGCAGCTGTCCGCCTTTATTACTGAACAATCACGCAGCTGTCCGCCTTTATTACTGAATAATCACGCAGCTGTCCGCCTTTATTACTGAATAATCACGCAGCTGTCCGCCTTTATTACTGAATAATCACGCAGCTGTCCGCCTTTATTACTGAATAATCACGCAGCTGTCTGCCTTTATTACTGAATAATCACTCAGCTGTCCGCCTTTATTACTGAATAATCACGCAGCTGTCTGCCTTTATTACTGAATAATCACGCAGCTGTCCGCCTTTATTACTGAATAATCACACAGCTGTCCGCCTTTATTACTGAATAATCACGCAGCTGTCCGCCTTTATTACTGAATAATCACACAGCTGTCTGCCTTTATTACTGAATAATCACGCAGCTGTCCGCCTTTATTACTGAATAATCACGCAGCTGTTCGCCTTTATTACTGAATAATCACGCAGCTGTCCGCCTTTATTACTGAATAATCACTCAGCTGTCCGCCTTTATTACTGAATAATCACGCAGCTGTCCGCCTTTATTACTGAATAATCACGCAGCTGTCTGCCTTTATTACTGAATAATCACTCAGCTGTCCGCCTTTATTACTGAATAATCACGCAGCTGTCCGCCTTTATTACTGAATAATCACGCAGCTGTCCGCCTTTATTACTGAATAATCACGCAGCTGTCCGCCTTTATTACTGAATAATCACGCAGCTGTCCGCCTTTATTACTGAATAATCACGCAGCTGTCCGCCTTTATTACTGAATAATCACACAGCTGTTCGCCTTTATTACTGAACAATCACGCAGCTGTCCGCCTTTATTACTGAATAATTACACAGCTGTCTGCCTTTATTACTGAATAATCACGCAGCTGTCCGCCTTTATTACTGAACAATCACGCAGCTGTCCGCCTTTATTACTGAATAATCACGCAGCTGTCCGCCTTTATTACTGAATAATCACGCAGCTGTCTGCCTTTATTACTGAATAATCACTCAGCTGTCCGCCTTTATTACTGAATAATCACGCAGCTGTCCGCCTTTATTACTGAATAATCACGCAGCTGTCTGCCTTTATTACTGAATAATCACGCAGCTGTCCGCCTTTATTACTGAATAATCACACAGCTGTTCGCCTTTATTACTGGATAATCACACAGCTGTCTGCCTTTATTACTGAATAATCACGCAGCTGTCCGCCTTTATTACTGAACAATCACGCAGCTGTCCGCCTTTATTACTGAATAATCACGCAGCTGTCCGCCTTTATTACTGAATAATCACGCAGCTGTCCGCCTTTATTACTGGATAATCACGCAGCTGTCCGCCTTTATTACTGAATAATCACGCAGCTGTCCGCCTTTATTACTGAATAATCACGCAGCTGTCTGCCTTTATTACTGAATAATCACGCAGCTGTCCGCCTTTATTACTGAATAATCACGCAGCTGTCCGCCTTTATTACTGGATAATCACACAGCTGTCCGCCTTTATTACTGAATAATCACGCAGCTGTCTGCCTTTATTACTGAATAATCACGCAGCTGTCCGCCTTTATTACTGAATAATCACGCAGCTGTCCGCCTTTATTACTGGATAATCACGCAGCTGTCCGCCTTTATTACTGAATAATCACGCAGCTGTCTGCCTTTATTACTGGATAATCACGCAGCTGTCCGCCTTTATTACTGAATAATCACGCAGCTGTCTGCCTTTATTACTGAATAATCACGCAGCTGTCCGCCTTTATTACTGAATAATCACGCAGCTGTCCGCCTTTATTACTGAATAATCACGCAGCTGTCTGCCTTTATTACTGAATAATCACGCAGCTGTATGCCTTTATTACTGAATAATCACGCAGCTGTCCGCCTTTATTACTGGATAATCAAACATATGTCTGTCTTTATTACTGAATAATCACACAGCTGTCCGCCGTTATTCCTGGATAATTACACATCTGCCTGCCATTATTACTGGATAATCAAACATCTGTCTGTCTTTATTACTGGATAATCACACATCTGCCTGCCTTTATTACTGGATAATCACACATCTGCCTGCCTTTATTACTGGATAATCAAACAACTGTCCGCCGTTATTCCTGGATAATCACACATCTGCCTGCCTTTATTACTGGATAATTACACATCTGCCTGCCATTATTACTGGATAATCAAACATCTATCTGCCATTATTACTGGATAATCACACATCTGCCTGCCTTTATTACTGGATAATCAAACAACTGTCTGCCTTTATTACTGGATAATCAAACATCTGTCTGTCTTTATTACTGGATAATCACACATCTGTCTGCCGTTATTACTGGATAATCAAACAACTGTCTGCCATTATTACTGGATAATCAAACATCTGTCTGTCTTTATTACTGGATAATCACACATCTGCCTGCCTTTATTACTGGATAATCACACAGCTGTCTGCCTTTATTACTGGATAATCAAACATCTGTCTGTCTTTATTACTGGATAATCACACATCTGCCTGCCTTTATTACTGGATAATCAAACAACTGTCTGCCATTATTACTGGATAATCAAACATCTATCTGCCGTTATTACTGGATAATCACACATCTGTCTGCCGTTATTACTGGATAGTCAAACAACTGTCTGCCTTTATTCCTAGATAATCAAGGGGCTGATCTTCAGCCCTGCAGCAGCAGGAAGGTCGCCTGCTGATCAGCAGCGGTTAATTTTACTGTGGTGTAAAACTTGACAGACAGACAGAAAGCTGCAGGAAACCCACGGACAGACAGAGAGACATCATGTTGTTTCTCAGAAATCGCAATGCGACACGGTGGTTGTAAGGCAGCTGGTTCTGGCAGAGCCAACAGAACCACACAGCAGAGATTATTAACAGACACAGGAGTTCTGACCCGAAACGACGAACATAGACTTTAAAAAACCCTCAAAACAACAAACAAATACTTTAACAGTGACACACTCACCGTCTTTACTGCCGGAGAAACTGGGTGGAGCATGCGCAGTAGGCAGCAGCTGCCAGTTAGCTTCACGGTTGGATGACCTGAAGGTCTGAGGGCGAAGAAAGAACCGATGCTGACCGCTTATTAGACTGCTGCTCCAACGGGTCTAAAGTAGGACCGACCTGCGCTTCCTGCTGCTGTCCGAGCACACTGCCCCCTGCTGGACGGGAGAGAGCACGACAGGACACTTCCAGGTGAGATTTTGAAATATCTTGGACAGGAAAGCCTGTCAGGGTTAAATGAGGATAGGTGGAGCTATAAGTTAGAATTTTTCAGAGGATTTAACTGAAACAAAATGGAAAAATCTGAAATTCTTATAGCACAGTAAATGTTACTGAGTAATAATAAGTGGTCTGTAGTTATGTGGAAAATATTTCTCACAGTATGCGTTATTTTATACATTCTGATTTGATTTTTAAGGAATTGAAGTAAAGCAGAATGGGCCCTACTAAAATATTTGAATCTTAAATATACTTTAAAGTAAGAATTTCACAACTTTGTTCATTAATTATTCTCTGCATTTCAAATAAATTAAACAATGGGGAACTAATTAGCTATTACTGTCACTGATACAGGAACCAGCACAGTCAAAACCTATGCAAACTACACTGTATAAATATTTGGTAATAGGCTAAGGATTAAAAAGGCTAAGGATTAAAAGCTTCAAGCTTAATAACTCCTAAATGCCAACAGGAGATTATTAAACTAGACTGAGCAATAATTATTTAACTTGTGAGCAAAACATGGACTAAAACAGGGACTAAAAAAAGCACCCGGTAAAGAAAAAACAAACCATTGGATGTGATCCTACACTCAGTCTCCATATCAATAATTTAAGCAAGCTGCTGTATTTTACTCATATTTACTCAAGTACTAGAATGCTTAAAATGTTTAATAGTTTACAAGAATTATCCTAGTGCAGATGAAATAAGATAAAAATTAAAATGACACACCTCATAACAACTGTGTGTAGACGCTGGTTTGATGGGTGAGTCTCACTCCCAATGGGTGAGAGGTGACAGCCCTGTTAGTGTTTTTGGAAAACAGGACAAGACCTAATTACCTTTGTAACATAAAAAATATATAGATATTTTGATGGTAAAAATGAATATCTATGTAATAACAAGAAACGCCAGCTTGCCCGAATATATAGAGAAAAATAACAAAAGTGATTCTATAAGAAATTAATGAAAAACACTCTGAGAGAGATAGAAACACATTTTTAACCTTAGAGGATTAATGCTCATACATACATTTATTAGTTTCTAAACCTGAATATAATTGTTAACTAGGCTTATTAACTTTTTAACTTTACTTTTTAACTTGTCTATTAACTTTTTACCTTTTTTCTGCTGAATGTACAGTAGGTAATATATCAATCAAGGGCTCATCTAATTGGTCTAATGCCAAAATAATATGTACATCCATGCAGCAGTATCTTTGCTTATGTAACCCAGGCAAAAACTGCCTGAATAATCACACCGCTGTCTGCCTTTATTACTGAATAATCACACCGCTGTCTGCCTTTATTACTGAATAATCACGCAGCTTTCCGACTTTATTACTGAATAATCACGCAGCAGTCTGCCTTTATTACTGAATAATCACGCAGCTGTTCGCCTTTATTACTGAATAATCACGCAGCTGTTCGCCTTTATTACTGAATAATCACGCAGCTGTCCGACTTTATTACTGAATAATCACGCAGCTGTCCGACTTTATTACTGAATAATCACGTTAATTCACTACAGTGTTTTTCATCCCTGTTCCTCAATGCACACTGACCTGAATGTTTTAGATGTTTCCAAGCTTTCACACACCTGTTATCAATTGATGGCAGATTATCAGGCTTTGCTGAACTGCAATCATCTGAATCAGGTGTGCTAAAGCTCAGAAACATCCAAAACATGCAGAGCAGTGTGCCTTGAGGACCAGGGTTGAAAAACACTGGGTTAGAGTGACAATTGATTACATGATGCATTCAGCCAATCAATGCATCTGAAGTGGTATTCAAGCCTGCTCCAGCTTTCCCAGTCAGGTGTGAAGGGGAGAGCTGGAGACAAAGGAGCTACAGGTTTGTGCTTTCAAACAAGTTATTTCTTTGTTTATTGTGCACTCTAAATACTCACAATATGAAAAAACATGTAGATCTTCATATCCAGTGAGTTTGGAGCCAAGAAGTTGTCGTTTACTGAGCCTAAAATGGAATTGGTGAGTAATGAATACAATTTTGTTTTGTTTGTTTAGCATGTTGGTGGTCTTAGCCAATGCTAATTGTTTTATCAACTGTCACACAGTTTAACATCTTAAATTTAAAAGATGTTTAAGATTATGATAAATGCTGATATCTATTTTGTCTGTACGAAAGGTGGATGTAATTGCATTTATTTTCTGAATATAAAAAATTCTAGTTAACTAGCAGCTGATAATTTACTGGTCCTGTACATTTCAATACAGGCCAGGTGATCCCTTTTTTGGGTTAAAGGATGGCGAGCTACTGAACACTGGTTGGGCCCAGGAAAACCTGAACTCCATACTGGTCTGGTAGGAGGCTGATGGTCTGTAGCGTTTCCCTTTCCATCTCATCATATTGACACACTTTTCATAATTCATCTCTTCTCCGTTGGACGCAATTTGCACTTGGACATTCCATCTCAAATAACTGGATAATCAAACTATGGACTTAAATGTGTGTCAGTCAGATGTTGTGCTGAGCCGTTGGGAAATGTAAGACTTTTGTGTGCATTCATTTGACATACTGCAGTACTGTATATATTGTTTTTGTATATCTTTTGGGTTCTTTGTATGGTTTATGTTTTGTAGTGTTTTACTTTTTTTTTCCATCTACAAAATTAAATGGCATTAAAATCAATTATTCCTTTGTGCTTATTATTAATTACTGACAACAGCTCCTGCAGACGAACTTAGCCTTTCTGATATTCTGCTTTTTTTTAGTCTTTATATAACTAAACTAGTGTTACACTTAATGGCTGGATATAGATCTTGTGCTTCTAGACCTCACTGAGGGACTGGGGGACACCATTTGTAAGGGGGATGCAAGTGATCAAAAACGCTAACTTGCCCTATAAAGGGTTAAAATACTCTACCAGTAAGAAAGGTTAAAACTTAAATTCCTCCTGATTCATTAATTCAATTTTAAACAAGTCAAAAAATAAACCTGTACCAATAATATTCACTTTATGGCTTAATAGAATATAATTCAACTTTATTATCATTACACTGTCAAAAGTATAAAGCAAACAAATTTATTAAATGTTTTAAAAAGTTTATAACCTAAATGCCTCCAATTTAACTAACTGCACCTTCTAAGAACTGATTACATTCATCCTGACAGAATCTAAGCAGTTTGATTCTTTTCTGTCCATACTGACATGACGTAGATGTTTCTGATTGGTGACCGATCTCGTACTTCACCACATCCCATCAGCTCTGATGAAGCTGCATCCGGTAGCATCTCCCAATTAACCGTTTAGAAGTGATCTGAAAAGTCAGCGGTGCGTTGCCCTGCGGATGATGGACAGGGCTCCAGGTAGACTGCGCAGAGAGCTCAGAGAGAGCCCGCAGCATGACCCCACCACCACCACCCGCCAGAACCACAGCAGCATGGATCCACAATGTTTACATGAATGAAACTTTCAGTGATGAACACTTTCTCTATTAAATGTGTTTGATGATAGAAATGATCAAAGTGAGACAAAGAAGTAAAGCGTTTTGTTTTCCAGTGCTGTCCAGTTTCCTCCTGCTGCTAGAAACTGGGAGGATTCCTGGAGTAAACTTAACAATAAAGACAAAAAAACAAGAGATCTGTACAACTTTAATCACAAAATTCAACAAAATACAAAAAAAAAGGCTCTGGATGAAGGTCTGTTCAGTTAAAGGTTTCCCAGCAACCTCCAGGCTGCAGCGTGTTGGATCTGAATAAAGGCAGCGCCTTACAGGAGGGTTGCTGATCAGTCCAAGAGGCCAGTGAGAATAGAACCAGGCAGGAAAGACCCAAAGCCTTCCCAGCTGCAGAAGGACCACGCAGACGGGTCAGCTCTGTGCTCCCTCAGCATGACACAGCCTGGGTATCTTCAGGATGCTTTCATAACAAACTTAAACGTCTCCAAACTGCTCTTTTCTGCTGCTATTAAACAGAACTTATTTTCTTATTTCAATGGATTAAAAACAAAATAAGACCACTGCGACCCAGAATGGAAGTTCTTCTGAGATGGAGACGACCATGAGAGGGACGTCTGGGTCATTCATGATGATAATTAATGTCATTAATCTGGTAAAACGGAGCATTGCTGCTGGATTACAGGAATACAGAGACAGCAGGGATCAGTTGGCTCTACTTCTCTGGATAAGGAGGATCGATGCCACCTTAAACGAGGCCGTTAATCTGACAGCAGACTGAAGTTCTGCCTTCTCCAGAGAAACCAGACCAATCAAAGCTCAGGAGGTAAAAACACGGCCTTGCTCTATAAGTAACCTTATATATCAGTATATATTGTTAAATGTGGTGGATTCTTCTACCTCCACCAAAGTTTGTGTAATTTCATCCTTCTGCAAATGCAGATCAGCTGGAGGTGGAAGCAGCCTGAAACAAACCACTTTCCCAAGAACTGAGGGGGGAATTTTATTTAAGTTTACTTTATTTTGTCACCTTAATATTCAATTAACTGTGCTAAGTTAAAGAGTTTTTTTTATTTATGTTTTAGTTTTGTATGGACTTTTTGATTGATTGCTTCTCTGTTATATTTTGCCTCCCTCATGTGGCAGGTTTAGGTTATTCCACCCCTTTTTAAGCAGCCTCTGTTCTTTATCAGTCGGTCAGTTTTTTTGTTCAAGTTTATTCCTGTTCAGTTGACCTCAGTTGAGTTGGGCCCAAATCCATGCTATTTATTATTTAAGCTATTTTGTATAGCTTTTTAGTCTTTAACTATTTTTGACACTATTAAATGAAAGCTTTTTTTCCCCCAATTTTTGAACACCTTTTGTCCTTATGTAAGTTTGGTCCCTCACAATGAACATGAGAAAATCCGAAATAAGTCGCATTAAAATAGGTTAGATTTAAATTTATTCAGTATAAAATTTTGCATAGGTTCTACTGGACCGCATGCAGACTTTTTAGAATAGGAATAATAAATAGTAATATCTGCTGGAAGTGTAAAAAAGAAACGGGTACTTTTTTTACATCCGAGTGTGCTTTGGTCAAACTATTTTGGGACAAAATACATAACTTCCTAGAGACATGGATTGACGTAACTCTCCCACAATGTCCTCGTCTATGTCTTCTTGGACACAAAACAGCAATACCCCAGCTAACAAAAGAGGTTCATTCAGTGTTGATAGTTGGGATAAACTCAGCTGCAAGAATTACACTAAGAGGCTGGAAGGCACCTGAACACCCTACATTCTAGGAATGGAAAGTTTTAATGACTGAACTGTATCATATGTAGGGGTGGAAATAATTTTTTCCCCCCTCCGGTCTATTTTTATCCATTTGCTCCAGGGCGTAATTCTGACTCCTGTGCTGCGGTGGCGCTGAACATATTTTGCCCTCCTAACTCGCTTCCTTTAGCCATTACTATCTTTCCGCTTGCAGTATTTTTTGCCTTTCAGAATCCATCCACACACAGAGGCATTATTATTTTTCAGTGAATGAGGTTTTCATAGGCCTAGGTGGAGTTAACAACTTTGCTGCTTCTGTTATTTGCTGTTTCTAAAATAAAATGCATAACAATATTACAGCTTTCATTTATTTTTTTCAAATTTGAAACATTGTCTAGCCTGTAAGGTAAAAAAAAAAAAATTAACCAATTAATCGAATTGTATTGTGGTGAATTCCTGAGTATCGAAAATAATCGTATTGTTGGGTCAGGAAATTGATGAATCGATTCGTCATGATGGGTGTGATTTACACTCCTAATCATATAAGGTCATGCTGACTAGGCTAAGAGGCAAAGGGCGGGTGTGGTTTGTTTCAAGTGAACCTGACTTCTCAGTTGTGGCTTTATTATAAAACTGACAGGAATGTGAGCATTACAGTTTTCAACCTTATTATAATATTTGTATGTTAAGATACGTGTGCATATTAGACGCATATATTTCAAATGCTGTTACATTTTTTCCCCTTCATCATCCATGAGCACCTTTTATTTTTAAATTTGTCTGACCGTGTGCTCCATGTAAGCTTTGTACCATATTTGTTTGATTGTTGAAATAAAAAAATAAAGAAAATAGGTTGGATTTATCCATGAAATCAGTAGAAACTCCACCAGAAACCAGTTCTGCTCACACTCTGAGATACAGATTTCACTGATTCATACCGGATCGTCGATCTGAGGAAACATCCGGTTCTTCACGCCGTCTGTGCAGAGGTTCCCTTTCCATGACATAAGAGTGAAAAAAGTGATTTTTTTGACAGCTGCTCATTTCAGCTGTGTGGCGCTTATTCCAACAGCTTAATCAGTTTCCATACAAATATTTAACTTTATAAGAAAAAGATGTCACAAACACTTTTAAAGCAGGACTTCAACTTTCAACCACTAGCCAAGATGTTCTTGTTACATTTTGCACCTAATCTAGAGTAATCTAATCCAGGTTTTAAGTACTGTAATTTTTAAATTTCAGGAGATTAGTGAAGCCTAAGCTGGTGAGACAACTAGCGGAATAGACCTGAAATTGTAGGACAACTTCAGCTTTGTGCATCTTTTATAGCAGAGGACTAGCGGAAGCATGCTAACCGATGCTAACGTCAGCCTTTCTGTGCTAATCAGAGGTGGATAATCCACACTAGGGCTGAACCAATTAATCAATCATTGAAATAATCCTCAACTAATTCAGTTATCGATTAGTATAGAGACTGTAAAACATGCCTTTAGCTGACAGAGCGACCCACTTAGAGCAGAAATTATACCAAGATTGTAAAAAAATATATATAAACATTTTGCATTAAAAAACAATCTTTTTTATCTGGCAATCAGTTCTATAATCCTACGACGGAGTATTGTGGCCAGGCTAGAGATTTCATTTCTTTTATTTCAAGTATAAAGTCGTAACATTACGAGAATAAAGCAGAAAAATATAAGAATAAAGTTGTAATGAGAACAGTCATACAATTATGAGAATAAAGACATTGTGAGAATAAAGTAATAAAATTACGAGAATAAAGTCGAAATAGTAAGAGAAAAAAGTCACGAGAATATTCATAAAATTACGAGAATAAAGTCATAAAATTACGAGAATAAAGTCATAACATTACGAGAATAAAGTCGCAACGAGAACAGTCATACAATTATGAGAATATACTCGTAACATTGTGAGAATAAAGTAATAAAATTAGGAGAATAAAGTCGTAATATTAAGAGGATAAAGTTCTAACATTACGAGAAACAAGTCTTTTTTTTTAAACTCCTTTCTTCCCTAAAATGAGGGATGTTGAGCATCATGTGAAGTTATACTTTGGCTCTGGTTTGACAAATAAGGAAATCTTTTAGCACCAGCATCAAATTGGGCAGGAAGTCAAGTGGACTGTGGTTGGTGGAGCTGGTCGGCCGTCATCTGCTGGTCAGAGCTCGAAGCATTCTCTCTGAAACGGGTTGTGGTGTGATGACTTCATTCTTATAATATTACCACTTTATTCTCGTAATGTCACGACTTTACTCTCAAAATAAAAAAATCTCTAACCTGGCCCTGATACTCCGTCGTAATAATCCAGAACTCTTCAAGTGAAAAGGTTTTAGTTTCACCCGGTCTGATTTCATAGAAAAGTCTTCTTTAAGGAACCTTTGGCTATCCGATTATTAATCGTAAAAAAGATGAATCTGTAAAATAATCGCTAGTGGTTTTCATACAAAGAACCGAAACAGACGTAAAGCTGACAGTCAAACCAAATGTCTCCTCCAACACATTTCAATTAGAAAAAAAAGACATTCCTTAGAAATGAACCCAGCATCTCATTAAAGGCTGCTGGTCTGGATCCACAGAATCTCTGCTAGAACCTGGGTGTTTGGGTCCCCCTCCCCCCCCCCCGGTTCCGGAGCTGTCCCTGTGAGGTAGATGTTCCTGTTACTCGCCAACCCCCGACATGGTCACCCAGGAGGCTTGGCCTGCGGACCGCCCCCCTCCTCTAACACCTCCTCTCTGTCCCACAAAGGATCCTGGCTGTCACACACTTCGATGCCAGAATCGCCCGTGAACCGCCGGTACCGGCCCGGTGTGGAGTCCTTGTCGGGGGTACTGGGGCCACTGGAGTAGATCTGCGTTGCCTCCTGGGGGTCGGCGTTATCGTCGTGCTCCGTGGAGGCACCCGAGCAGGAGCCGCAGACATCCTCTATGGGGTCAGAGCATGGTGGCGCCAACTGGAGGGGCGTGTAGGGGGGAGGGGGGGTTTGTGGTCGGTCGACTGCGTCCTCATAGGCTGGCAGCAGGTAGACTGGCAGGAACCCTGCAGAGAACAGATGGTGGGAACCGTTGGACCCAGAGAACCAAATGGAGACCGACCCTACCGGAGCAACGGGATGCTCAAACCTTCACTGCATCGTAAAACTGCGCCACCTGGCGCCTTATTGGATCAAAACATCTGTTGCTATGTGATGCACTGTTACTCTGCGGCCTGATCTACTAGTCAGTGACTTCCCTTTTGGGCTTAAAAGACTCTTTTTGCCATGAAAACACAGCAACAACCAGTCCTGACTTCATAGAGCTAACCGCTAGTTAAGCTAGCAGTTTACCCAGGTCCATATGAATTGTCCATGTAGGAATTTATGTATTGCTTCCAAACATTTACCTAAGAAGAAAGTCAAAAAAAAGTTTATGCCTTTAATAATTAAAGGACATCTATAGTTGAACCACTTTAAAGGTATAGAGGACGATCTATTATTTCATCTAAAAAAGTGGTCCTCCTAACTGTCAATCATTCTGGCGATATGTTTACATAAGGCCGTCCTACGTGCTCCCCCCGTTAGCTATCTTTTTCTGGCGTATGCTGTATCTGTGGTGAGCTATGGTTTCAGACGGTCAATGATGCTCATGTTTCTCACCGTGGTTCTTTGAAAATGGCCAAGGGTCGTAAGAGAAAAAGTGTCTACGAAGAGAAGAAAAGAAAGGCCTCAGAAGAGGCAGATATATCCCAGAATGCTTTGCGCAGAGAGCTCTCCTCAAGAAGCATTATGGGAATTGCTATCACAGCAGCATGCTGTCGCCATAGGCTGCCACTACCAGACAGCGGCGACTAATAAAGATGGCGCCACGCAGTGGAGGAGGTGTTACGTGACCAATGGAGGGAAAAGTAGTGATCAAGCTGCAGAAAACGTCAGTAAACCAAAAAACAGGCTGGAACGGAGTTCTGCAGGCGACTTACTGAGATAGAGTGGTAATTGCGAGTTGTTGTTGACCTCCCTGTAGGCGATGAGGTTGATCTCGTTCTGCCGCCGCTGCTGCTGGAAGCGCTGCTTGGCCCGCCAGTGGTGACAGATGCAAAAACCCGTCAGAATGATGATCAAAGCCCAGACCAGCCAGAACCCTGGAGACGGATCACCCACAGAACATGTTAACGCCATCAGAAACCTGACTGCTGCATGGGTCCAAAAAGCCACAGTAGAGAGAACAGGTACTCAAATTAATCCCTAAGTGTTTCTGAGGCAGTAGAACCTCGAAACATCAGCATCCAGATCCAGCTAAATGGACCAGATGTCCTGCTGCTTCCTGTTCAGGGAGGAAACAGGAAGGTAACTTACACCACAGCTCGTAGTAGTTAAGGCAGCATTCGGCGTCTCCACAGCAGCGGCCAGATGCACAGGTGTAGCTCTGGTTGTCCATCCCCACGCAAACCAGTCCGACCTGCTGACACAAAGTAGAGCCCAGTTAAACCATCAATTAATCAGATTCATCTGTTAAACAGCCTGTTTAGCAAAGTTAGTCTGCTCCTGGAGCATTTCTCTCCTGGATAAAGAGACCCAAGGGTTCCTCCTTTAGTTTAACATGGAAAGAACTCCTGGACTGGAGCTCCTATTTTCCTTCTCAGTGTTCCTTCCCATTAAAAGGAGCTTTTCCTCTCCACTGCTGCTGCAGACTCATTATGGAAAAGCAAATCCTCAGGAATCCCGTCAATCAGCCGTCATTCATGGATTGAAACCAATTTAAAAACTAAACTGAATCTGACTGGATTGGTTGACACCTGGAGTGGATTGAATGTGACTGGATGAATTACCTGTTCACATCTAAAAACTGTGAACATCCTGTTTGTTCTCATTGCTCTTTAAAGCATGTACCAATAAACAACCTTGCTGAAGCAATGAATGATTCAGGAGTCAGCTCTTTAGCTCCAACAAGTAAACACAAGGCCACCACTATAAACTACAGCAGCTAACTTTAAGAAACTAACTGCTTTAAGCATGCAAACCTTAGCTAACTGTTTTTAGCATCTAAACCAGAAGCTAACTGTTTTTAGCATCTACATCAGAAGCTACCTGTTTTTAGCATCTAAACCAGAGGCTAGCTGTTTTTAGCATCTAAACCATAGCTAACTGTTTTTAGCATCTAAACCAGAAGCTAACTGTTTTTAGCATCTAAAACATAGCTAAGTGTTTTTAACATCTAAGTCAGATGCTAACTGTTTTTAGCATCTAAACCATAGCTAACCGTTTTTAGCATTGAAGGCAGATGCTAACTGTTTTTAGCATCTAAACCAACAGAATAAATGCCTATAGCATCCAAACCAGCAGGCTAAATGCTTTTAGCATTAAAACCAGCAGGCTAACTCTTTTTAGCATCTAAATCAGCAGGCTAGCTGCTTTTAGCATCTAAATCAGTAGGCTAACTGTTTTAAGCATCTAAACCAGCAGAATAATTGCTGTTAGCATCCAACCCAGCAGGCTAAATACTTTTAGCATTTAAACCAGCAAGCTAACTGCTTTTAGCATCTAAATAAGCTGGCTAACTGGTTTAAGCATCTTAATCAGCAGGCTGACTGCTTTTAGCATCTAAATCAGCAGACTGACTGTTTTTAGCATTTTAATCAGCAAGCTAACTGCTTTTAGCATCTAAATCAGCAGGCTGACTGCCTTTAGCATCTAAATCAGCAGGCTAACTGCTTTTAGCATCTGGAGTAGCTGGATAACTGCTGTTAGCATCCAAACCAGCAGGCTAAACGTGAAGTTAGGTCTCACCTCCACAAAGGAGGTCGGCGTAGCAGAGTTTTGAAGTCCAGGATTCAACTTTGATGAAGTCATGTCCAAAATCATCCAGTTTAAAATGATTAAAAGAACATGGTTGAAGAACACAGTCACAGTACCCTAGCAAGCCACATCCCTGGGTCTGCTAAAAACATTATGCCGGAAGTACCGACTGTGACGTGATACACGCCGCTCCTCCTCCTCCTCCTCCTCCTCCTCTTCTTCTTCTTCTTTGGTTTATTGGTGGTCGGAAAGCAGCGGTTTTAAACATTACTGCCACTAAGTGGTGAAAGTTGTTAAAGATGACATTATCGTATTTAGAAACCGCAGTGGATTATGCTAACATTCTTCCGCCAAAGGTCAAAGCTAACATTTACATCAGTGAGATTTTTAGTTTCTACTGTCGTCATGTTGATCCGTTTGTCCACATAAACCAAATTAACATAAAATATATAATCATCACATGAATATAGAAACATTTAATCCCTAAATGTTTTGATGTTTTATTATTTCCACCTTTCTGTCTCTTTAAACTCTTTCTCTAGCTTAGAGAATATTGAAATATCTCATTTAATCCACTATGGTAGTGAGCAGTTTAGTGGGATATTTTCACACCAGGTCATAAACACTGAAGAATAAATGTCCTGTTACTATTTATTATCTGGAATCTGAGTTGAAATAAGGATAGCAGTCATTCTGAGGTTAGATTTATGGTGATGGCAGGTTCACTGATGATGACATCCACTTTTGGATAATCACCCCATACAGACTTGAATGAATAGGAATTTATTTCAGACAATTTGACAAACAACAATAAATCAATAATACACACAAAAGACACTAGTTAATTGATTGATTGACTTTATTGACCTCACAGTGGAACATTTTACTTGTTACATCGGCTCAATAGTGCATAGGGGGATATTAACAGTATATACGGTGCATCCACATATGACAGCTTGTTTTTAATAATAGGATTATTATACAGGGTTATTGCACAGGGTGTTTATATGGATATTTTTATATATATAGTTATTGCACAGGGTATTAAATGGTAATTGCACATCATACATTGCACAAGTTATTGCCGTTGTTGTGTCGCATTGTAAAGTCGTTGGACTACAGAGGAGCTACTCAGCTCCTCTATGGTCTGCTCAGTAGTGAACATCAGACCAAACACTAATTTCCAAACTAACTAAATTCACCTGAGCATGAATAGAAACAAACCCTCCACCAAATAAACCTGTCGCCATATAGAGCCAGAGAAATGACACTGATTAATGGAAATAGTCTGAAAAGGGGTATGAATGATAAGTTTTACTTCTTGATACCCCTTGTCAGACAATTTTCATTAATCAATGTCATTCTCTCCCTCTCACTCCTTTCAATTGCACTTAAATTAACTTAATGTCAAGTAACCTTCCTAATAAACTTGTTTTTTGTGCAATGTTCACGCACACACAAAAAAATATATACACTATATATATATATATATATATATATATATATATATATATATATATATATATGCTTTGATTACTGCTTTGCTCACTCTTTGCATTCTCTTGATGAGCTTTCAGAGGTCGTCACCTGAAATGATTTTCACTTCACAGGTGTCCCCTGTCAGATGTAATAAGTGGGAGTTCTTGCCTTATAAATGGGGTTGGGACCATCAGTTGTGTTGCATAGAAGTCAAGTGGCTGATAGCCCTACTGAATGGACTGTTACAATTTGTATTAAGGCAAGAAAAAAGCAGCTAAGTAAGAAAAACGAGTGGCCATCATTACTTTAAGAGTAATTTAGAAAAATCAAAATTAAGAGAAAGATAAAATTTAAGAGTCATGTTTTAGTTCAGCGGGAGGAAACTGGAGTTCCGGCCTGGACCGGGAATCAGACCTAGAACCTTCTTGCAGCAAGCTACAGTACAAACTGCTCCAACATGCAGCCCTACCTGCAAGTCACAGATGTTTTTTTATTCCACTGGCAGTGGTATTTGTAGAAAAGGAACATTTAAGATAAGTGTGATTTTATTTTGAACCAATGGGAGTGAAATGGAGAAACGAAGAGTCTTTAGATGCATGACTCACATAGTTAGGTTGTTCACAGCAATAGCTCTGAGCTAGTCTGAGCTCTTTTTTTTTTTTACCAACCATCTAATGAACAATACACAGTTATTAACATTGTAATTAAAAGCAAAACTGTCTGCTTTGCTATTGCTGTCATGTTTAAACTGCTCACCATCATGTTGAAATCTGCCATGTGTTGCGCTATAAATAAGGTTTGGTCAGTCAGTTCAGTGTCAGGGGGGTTTGAGAGGAATCTTTTGCACCATTTTGTCTGCAATCAGACGTCCTCATCTACAATTGCAAAGGGGTCCTACCTAGGAGCAGGGCTAGATAGCCACCCCAACCACTTATTTCCCTCTAATTAAGACAATAGCAGTAATACTCTCCAGTGGAATATTCAAAACATCTTAATTTTTCATATATTACCAATTACCTGACAACAAAAACCCTGTGGTTAATTATGCTCATCAATAAACTAACAGTAAACATGATAAATACAGAATTCATGAACTTTTATAACTAGATTTTTAGTTATATGGGGTAAAGAGAAAATAATGTGTCTCTGCAAGTCATCTAGGAGTGTTTAGTGAAATCATAAATAAATATTTTAATAAAAACATATCAAATAATCAATTCATGTAAATATTTGTACATGTAAGTATCAATTTTATGCATAATGATTATTGATAAAAGTAGGTAAGTAATGACAATGGAAAAGATTTTCACCCCAGAACTCAAACCTGAAAGAATTTTATTCACTATACCTTTAATTTAGAGACCATGGATGTTTAAATATATGCGTCTATTTGTTAGCAAAGGCTGTGGGAAAGTATAGTTAGTGTCTATTTTGAAAATATGGATGTTGTGCTCATTAATTTTCCTGTTGGAATAGTGTAGATTGACGCTGAGGTTCTGGTGCCTATCCGCTTTCGGCCACCCATCAGTGGACATTTGTTAGTGCCTGGCCACCCTTATAAAAATATTCTGGCTACGCCTCTGGGTCCCCAAGGGGGCAATAAGCAACTGCAGTCTCTGCTTACCGTATTTACACCATTGGCGCTGAGAAAGACAGAACAAAAACACTCAAGTTAAAATGAAAAAAATATTACAATTATTTCAAGCACAGGATAATTTGTGAAGACGCTAAAAAAGCTGCAGAGGAAGTTTAAAAGTTTAGGAGATGCACCACACACAAGTGACCACCAGAGGGAGACAAAGAAGGCACAGCCTTCTCAGTGCGAGCAGCTCAGTCCTGGAACACCATTCCAACTCATACAGGTGCTGGTCATAAAATTAGAATATCATGAAAAAGTTGATTGATTTCAGTAATTCCATTTAAAAAGTGAAACTTGTATATTATATTCATACATTACATACAAACTCATATATTTCAGATGTTTATTTTGTTTAATTTTGATGATTACAAATGACAACAAATGAAAATCTCAAATTCATCATATCAGAAAATTAGAATATTGTGAAAAGGTTCAAAATTGATGGCCCCTGGTGCCACACTCTAATCAGCTAATTAACTCAAACCACCTGCAAAAGCCTTTAAATGGTCTTTCAGTCTAGTTCTATAGGCTACACAATCATGGGGAAGACTGCTGACTTGACAGTTGTCCAAAAGACGACCATCGACACCCTGCACAAGGAGGGCAAGACACAAAAGGTCATCGCTAAAGAGGCTGGCTGTTCACAGAGCTCAGTGTCCAAGCACATTAATAGAGAGGCGAAGGGAAGGAAAAGATGTGGTCGAAAAAAGTGTACAAGCAAGAGAGATAACCGCACCCTGGAGAGGATTGTGAAACAAAACCCCTTCAAAAATGTGGGGGAGATTCACAAAGAGTGGACTGCAGCTGGAGTGAGTGCTTCAAGAACCACCACACACAGACGTATGAAAGACATGGGTTTCTGCTGTCGCATTCCTTGTGTCAAGCCACTCTTGAACCACAGACAGCGTCAGAAGCGTCTTGCCTGGGCTAAAGAGAAACAGGACTGGACTGCTGGTGAGTGGTCCAAAGTCATGTTCTCTGATGAAAGTAAATTTTGCATTTCCTTTGGAAATCAAGGTCCCAGAGTCTGGAGGAAAAGAAGAGAGGCACTTCATCCACGTTGCTTGAAGTCCAGTGTAAAGTTTCCACAGTCAGTGATGGTTTGGGGTGCCATGTCATCTGCTGGTGTTGGTCCATTGTGTTTTCTGAGGTCCAGGGTCAACGCAGCCACATACCAGGAAGTTTTAGAGCACTTCATGCTTCCTGCAGCTGACCAACTTTTTGGAGATGCAGATTTCATTTTCCAACAGGACTTGGCACCTGCACACAGTGCCAAAGCTACCAGTACCTGGTTGAAGGACCATGGTATCCCTGTTCTTAATTGGCCAGCAAACTCTCCTGACCTTAACCCCATAGAAAATCTATGGGGTATTGTGAAGAAGAAGATGCAATACACCAGACCCAACAATTCAGAAGAGCTAAAAGCCACTATTAGAGCAACCTGGGCTATCATAACACCTGAGCAGTGCCACAGACTGATCGACTCCATGCCACGCCGCATTGCTGCAGTAATACAGGCCAAAGGAGGCCCAACTAAATACTGAGTGCTGTACATGCTCATACTTTTCATGTTCATACTTTTCAGTTGGCCAACATTTCTATAAATCCTTTGTTTTTATTGGTCTTCAGTAATATTCTAATTTTCTGATATGATGAATTCGAGATTTTCATTTGTTGTCATTTGTAATCATCAAAATTAAACAAAATAAACATCTGAAATATATGAGTTTGTATGTAATGTATGAATATAATATACAAGTTTCACTTTTTAAATGGAATTACTGAAATCAATCTACTTTTTCATGATATTCTAATTTTATGACCAGCACCTGTATACGCAATGCAGACACATACAGAACTTTCAAAAACATGTTAGAAGCATGGTTACAGGAGAATCAAACCTGTAATCATAATCAATAACTTCTGTCTGCCTGTCTGATGCACTTTTATCAATGCTTTTTAAATCTTATATTTATAATAACGTCTTTGTTTTTTACAGATCAATGTCCAACTTTTATGTAGATTACTACCTATGTATTTTATTGTTTGCACTAATTTTTAATGT